ACTGAAGCGGCTAGCCCCACCTTTCGAGGTTCGAGCCAGCGCGGAGGTTCGAGGGAAAGGAAAGAGCAGCGATGTCACGGTCACCTGGAGCACAGGCCATCTCACCTTGAACGCCTTACTACGTAGACCCGTTTCTGTCAGCCTGGTCTTTTGATTGGCTGTATGCCCTTTCTTTGTGAGGCACCCACACATCTGGCTTTGGAGCATGTCACGTGCCTTGCAGCGAGTCTTTGAACAGCGCAGGCGACCACCGCAAATGGAATGTGACGGTGGGCAGGTGAGGGTGGATCCCTACGGCTAAGGCAAGAACAGTAGCCAGCTGGACTGGAGGCGATGACAGCACAGTGACCAGACCAGACCGCCTTCACCCGGATGAGCACCAGTTCTTTTTTTTCTTGCTTTCTTTCTCTCCTCTTTTTTCTTGTCACTACCACACCTCTTCCCTCTTTCTTTGCTACCTTATGATCTTGTTCATATGAAGATCACATCCTAGCTGGCCCATGGTGGAAAAATCCAGTCAAACACCCAAGCTTCTGGGGGCCTGTGCTCAGCTGAAGTGAACTGAACACTCGCACTGAACAGTAACCGAACCAACTGTGGTGGACTGAGAATTTTCCGGTCCCTCGGTCTCCCACCCGCTGACGCTGAACCTTTGAGGCCCTGCTGTTTCCGACCGCCCATGTCCCAGACTCCCAAGTCGGCTCCGGCGCGTGTTTCCGAACGCTGTTTGGCCCGCCCACCACAGGCTCTCCCCCAGCGCCAGCGGCCCAGCGCTCACCTCACGCACTTACGCTAAGCGCTTAGCGAGACGGGGCGACACGTTCTGTTCTCTTTGCCCAAATCCTAGATTCAACCTCACCTACCTACCCACGGAGACCACCCGATCCGCCGACGACGCTTCCGCCTGAGCCCATCGTCGACCGTGGTGCTCAAAGAAAACCGTCTCTTTGCCCACGTCCTCGACATTGCTGGTATGTCTCTCCTGCCTGTCTGATCCTTTTTGGCCCGGTTTTCTGCGACCCCCCGTCCCGTCGCAGGCCGTTTCTGGGCCGCGCCAATTGGCTGCCCACCCCTATCCTTGCCGCGACATCATCGCTGACTTATTTTTTTAACCTGCCAGCTCAGCCTCATTGCTTTCTACCCTCCTCAGCGAACTCCCATCGATTCTATCTGACATATCTGCGTTATCTTTCGGCGGCTGATCTTTACGATACCCTCCGGGCTGCAGTGCGAATGGTCAAAGAAGGAGCCCCCGACGTCACCTAGACCAGACCATCCATCAATATCGATACTCTACGAGCTGTCATCACCTGCCCCTTCTTGCCACGACTTGCACTGTCCTACGATCCTTACCTGAATCGAACGACGACTTCCCCATGACTGCCGTCGCGAGCCCGCCCAGCTTCCAGCAACTCAATCGACCGGGATGGAATGTTAATGGCGGCCAAAGTCTGAATTCGATGAACCCAGAAGACGTCAGAGGCATGTTCGCCGCACCTCGGAAGACGCTGCAGCGGAGCAACTCTTCCTCCTCGGTCTCATCTACCTCCTCCAACTCGTCTACTACCACTGTTGCCACCAATGGCTCGCAATCAAATGGCACCCCGGCGTCCACAAACTCTGACATGAGCTGGTCCAGCACCGCCTCGAGAAAGCGACCACAACCCAAAGGACCATGGCCGCCAGGCAAGCCAGAAGGTCAAGCCGAGTTCGGCAGACCTATTATGCGAAACGCCATCAACGGCATCAATGGCGGTTCGTCGCTGCAGACGGCTCCAGGCCAACCGCAAATGATGTCGCAGCAGGGACTCGGGGCAAGGCCGATGGGCGACCCGATGCCTAGCGGGCAGCCTGTGCTCTATCTCTTGTCGCTCAATGGTACCTTTGAACGCAAAACCATCTCGGTACCATTCTACCCAGAAAGCCTCCGTATCGGTCGCCAGACCAATCAGAAGACGATCCCGACTGCCACCAACGGCTACTTTGATAGTAAAGTGCTATCAAGGCAGCATGCTGAGATATGGGCAGATCGGACCGGCAAGATATACATCCGCGACGTCAAATCGTCCAACGGAACCTTTGTCAACGGCACGCGTCTCTCCCAGGAGAATCGCGAATCCGAACCGCACGAGCTACAGACGGGAGATCATTTAGAGTTGGGAATCGACATTGTGAGCGAGGATCAGAAGACCGTCGTCCACCACAAGGTTGCCGCCAAGGTTGAACACGCCGGCTTCATGAGCCCCTCAAGTAACGTTATGGACATGAATTTTGGCGATTTGGACCCCGCAAATGGTGGCATGATGATGCCAGCGCCGAGCCCAATGCCCTACCGTGGCAGGACTGGTAGTAATGCATCGATGGCCAGCAATGGCCGCATGATGGCACCCCAGAATATGGCCGGCATGGCCCCTAATGGTGGAGCAGCCCGTGGATTCTTGTTAACGCCCATTACCACGGAGCATATCGTCAAGAGACTTCACGTGAGTGTCCAAACCCCTAGACCTATTGATTGGAGCTAACTAGGTTGTAGAACGAGATGCGCAATGCTCGATTGCAGTCTCAAGACCTCTCCCGGACGGGCCAATTCGTTCACGCTCTCTTGAGCAAAGACGATGTAAAGGATCTCGAGAAGCCGGAAGCCCCCGAACCTCCGAAGCAGCTTCCCAATGGCAACGCTCTACCCTTCCGTACCGATGCGAAGACCAGATTTTCCGATCCTCCTGCCCCGCCTCCGCAGCAGCCGCTGCCTGAGAAGCCCGATGTGCCTTCACTGAAACGAGGCACCACTGAGCGACCAAAGACTAATAGCACCACCTCGCCCGTTGGACGGGACAACTTGCATCAGATCATTCAGTTGACCGAAGCTTTGAATAACGCAAAGAAGGAGATGGATACCCAAACGGCCCGTATTAAGGATTTGGAAGACATGCTCCGAAAAGAACGGGAGGCACGCGAGCTTGCCGAGGATATGGCAAAGATCCTTGAGGACAGTGCCTTGAAGGAAACCAATGGCGCGCCCAAGGAACACGATACCGAGATTCTCGAGGAGGCTTTTGAGCCGCCCCGCGATACCGTCGACACCCAGGATATCGAGATGACAGATGCCGAACCGCTCTCCGAGGAGCCTGCTCCAGAGAGCGCTGAGGATATTGCTGCACGTTTCCAGGTCAAGCTTGACACAATGATGTCAGAAGTGACGGACCTGAAGCAACAGATGGAGGCATGGAAGAGCAGATGCGAGAAGGCTGAGACGGAGCGCGACGCCGATCGTCAAACTTTGGCCGAGATGGTTGCCCAGATTCGCAGAGACGAGGAGGCTAGGCAAAACGCCGCTGCTGCGGAGAAGAATCGTTCTCTTTCCCCAGGACGACGCGGCCGGAGCGAAGGACCTGCCGACAAGACAACTTCAGTTGTTCAGGCCAATGGATCCGGTGACTCGACGTCAGCTTCTACCCAGGCAGAGTCACCCGTGGACGACTTTGGTGACAAGCCCACGTTGTCACGAGCCAACACCATTACGCCACTTTCCATACCTCCAGGCAAGCTGGCAAAGGACCAAGCCATGATGGCCGGGGTTCCCTATGCTTCCATGCTTGGCGTGGTAATCCTTGGCATGGGTCTCATGGCTTACATTAACGGCTGGCAACCCGAGCCGACTCCCCGTCATTGACCGCGTCGTTTTCAGCTGGGCACATCTTGGCTCTATTCACTAGACAAGCACTTCAACGTTGGCGTTGCACATACTTATGGCGTTTCTTGCATTGAAAGCGGTCATTCGTTTTCCACCGACCTCTACCAAGTCGCTTTTTCTTTCCCTATGTACCTACTACCTTTTCCTTTTACTGTATGAACTGCGAAGACGACGACGTTTTCTTTCCCTTTGTCTCTATTCTCACGGGCAATAGGGACGGCTGGGAGGGAAACAAATGGTTGGAGATGGCGTTAAAGATTTTCTTCCTTTGTGTGGGCTGGGGTCCTCAATCGAGGACGTTTCGATCGCGCTGCAAGCACGGTGTTCTTTTTGTGACTTGGGCAAACCAGGAATGGGAAATGGGATGATGGACGACGACGAACTTCTTTTTTTCACTACACTGGGCACAAAAGAATAACTCAAATTCGAGATGACACCTTTTTTGCTGCAGAAAGACAAATGTGTCCCGCTGCAACATCCCTGATGGGAATACTTGTAGTGTCACCCTTCGGTATGCGGGCGCATTTGCCGCGTGCCTTGCATGAACCCGTCATGCGGCTTCTAGGCCTCTTGACTCGGGACGCAGTCTACATGAACATGAGGGGAAGGGCTGTAGATTACCGGCAGTATGGCAGGGGTGGATTGACGAGATTAATGTTTGCATACAGTACTCAAGGCCGGATGGGAATACAAGGACCTTTTAATCGCTTACGCTCGTTTCCGATGCCAGGAGTCTTGAGGATTTGATCCTAGTCCTAATCTTGGCGAACAATGATCTCAGAGCTGTTGCATCGAATGTCAGACGGCTATTGATGACTGCCGTCCTCCCTTCAGCAACGATGTGCTTAGTCTACCCCCCATAATGATGCTGCTTTGCATCGTAACAAAACGGGAAGAAGGGTGAACACTTTCAAAATACGTGAGACGCAATTATGCTGAAGGCCTACCTGCCTTACCACAGACAGATTCCAGATAAGAGGTGCTACGGAATGGAGCCCCAACCGAGGCCCGGCAACATTTGTGAAATGAAGCATTCCAGTGCCCATCACCACTTAAGTGTTGACTCCATTCTCCCCGACAACGCACATGTCAAACAAACAGTCAATAACCTTTTCAACTAGTTCGATGTCTACGACTTCGTCCAGGAGCCGTTCTTGACGATAATAACGACTTTTTCCTTCCCAGTGTAATCCACTTACCATCGAAAGACGAAAGCTCAATTGCCCCTCATTTTGGTACTACGGCTTCAAGATATCATTCCCACTAGGTCAGAAACAATCAGCGCGCCTACGCTTCTCTAAACGCCATGAATTGGGCAGATCATTTTGGTAAGCTAAACAGCTCCTTCCCGAAGTCACCTTTAGGTTCAAGACTTGCTCACTGAATAACAGATGGACATGGCCGCTCCTTCATCTACGAAGAAGACGTCCAGCCCATGAACCAACCCACACGACCCGCTAAGCCGAAATCCAACCCCCAACCTCGTCGTCCACCTCCACCCCCGCCAAAAAGATCAACAGACCCTCATGAAAACATCCACGCCTGGCTCTCGGGCGTCACGATCGACGAGGAACATGTACCCCTCGCATCAGACATCTTTCATGCTCTAGGCCAGATCCAAGGTCAGACGAAGGTGAGCCACCAAGCACCACCGGTGGACAAGCAGCAGAAGCAGGCAGAGACACAGACACAGACACAGGCCGCCGGTCCGACGGTGACTGTCCACACCATGGGCCCGGGGTTTATCGGCCGCGCTCCGGCGTTTGGGACATCTGAGTTCTTTGCGAATATGGTTGTTGTGGGGATTCTGTTGCTCTTCGCGCCGGGGTTCACGATTCTTGCGGCGGGGGTGTTTTTCACGTCGAGGGTTGCGGAGAGGTGGGCTGGGCAGGAGTGAGGGTTGGTTGTACGTGATGCTTGAAACGATTATTGATGGTTCATGAATGTGAAAGAAGACTATTATGATTTGGAGACATTTTATGCTACAATGTTGTGTTAGGAATTGCCGGATTCAGTGTAGTTGAAGGATGGAAAGGGGAGTTGGGTTTGCGGTGGAGGATGCTTTCTATAGGTCCTTAGTTGTTAGATAGATGAAAAGGACGAATATTAAGATGCTTGGAAGTATGGGAATCTGCATCACGTCGTCCTCCAGGATGAGTGAGTTAGGTGGCCGAACGTGGCTTTCCATGACGAGATCCGGGGCTGAGTGGCATCAACGCCGGAAATATGGGGCACATCGGTCTCTACACCGGGCGATCGGCATGAATCTCGTCCAGTCGGTTTAGTCGTGGCTCAGCATACTTTCTTGTATTCCATGAATCCGTAAGGAATGATAAACGTAGGCCCTCGAGGCGGCCTAGCTCAAGGTCTATCATACCGACTGATGGCTGCGAGGAACACCTTCGCTTTGGCAGTTCGCACTACCCCAGAGTCGGACGTCTACAGGTCCGAGCAGTCGAGCCCCGAGATCCGAAAGTTATCCATAATTCCAGACATGCTTAAGCAGCTACCCTGCTGGACAGAAGGGAAACTTCCCGTCGGGGATGCGAGATTAGACAACCGCATGGTGATCCTCTTTCGCGTCGGGTTCGATGCCCCGTTTTAAATTGTGCCGCGTCCTTTCGGCCTCCCGCGGCAGCCCGAGCGGCATGGGTTCGACATCACAATCACACTTCTATAGCGATCCGTAATGACTTGACCCAGAGAAATACGGCTTGGCGAATATTCGTATGGAGAGTGGGCAATACGAACATTACGAAGCGGCCGGCCGCCCGTACTGGCAGTCCCAGACTACTTCCCCACATGAGGCGCAATGCGGATGACCGCGGGCGTCCGCACTTACATAGGCTGCGATCCGAGTTGTCGGTATGATGCCTTTCATGTATTGGAAATTTGCTCAAAAGATAGATAGAAGAAGATATGTAACTGTAAGTCAATGGTTCGTCTGATATCCGTTCACTGCAACCTCATCATCTCATACCACTTGACACCAAACTTTACTGCAGACTCTATCCCACAACAGAGCCTGTCGACAGCTGCTAAGACCATGACAACAGGTGATGAGGCCGGCATCGAGATGGCGTCGACCAATCGAGTCTCGGGATCTTCATCATTGACAGCAGCCGACGACACGATAAGAGAAATCGAACAACTAGCACGCCAAGTCACAAACGCATCACACATCCACGATGCCAACACGCACTACGATGTCTTGAACCCACCCAAGAACAGCTACCTCGACCCGAATTCCTCAAACTTTGACAGCGTAGCATGGACGCAGGCGTTTATCCACCTCTTCGAATCAGATCCCAACTCAGCACCCAACAGGAGCGCGGGCGTCGCATTTCGCGACCTTAATGTCTTTGGGTATAGCTCTGGGACGCGGTACCAGAAGAGCACGGGCAATATTGCGTTGAGTATGGTATCTGATCTTGTTGGTCTTGCCACGGGGAGGTCGAGGAGACGGATCGATATTCTGCGGGACTTTGAAGGCCTTGTGGAGCCTGGGGAGATGCTGCTCGTGCTTGGTCCGCCTGGATCGGGGTGTTCTACTCTTCTCAAGACGTTAGCTGGTCAGACTGAAGGTTTGAACGTCGCCCAAGACTCGTACATGAACTTCCGGGGTAAGCCAGATTCTTCGTTCAGATTTCAGCAATATCATGTCTAAACAAGCAATAGGAATCGAACCAAAGCGCATGCACGACTGGTTCCGCGGCGACGTCCTCTACAACGCCGAGGTAGACGTCCACCTCGCGCCCCTATCCGTAGGCGACACCCTCGAATTCGCCGCCCGCGCGCGAGTACCCTCCCGCGTACCCGGAAATCTCACGGGCCAACAGTTCGCGCGCATCATGCGCGACGTGATGATGGCGGCCTTTGGCATCACGCACACTGTCAACACCAAAGTGGGCGACGATTACGTGCGCGGGGTCTCGGGCGGCGAGCGCAAGCGTGTGAGCATCGTCGAGGCGGCGCTGACCGGTGCCAAGTTCCAGTGCTGGGATAATAGCACGCGCGGACTGGATAGCGGGAACGCGATTGCGTTTTGTCGGAATTTGAGGACGCAGAGTGATTTGTTAGGGGTTGCGTCTGTTGTGGCGATTTATCAAGCGCCGCAGTCTGCGTATGATGTAAGTGTGATTCTTGGATGGCTATGAGAGAGGCATTGATGGGACCATGTTGTTGACGTTCTCGGTAGCTGTTTGATAAGGTGACGGTGGTGTATGAGGGGAGGCAGATCTTCTTCGGCAAGATTGGTGAAGCGAGGCGGTACTTTGAGAAGCTTGGCTTTCAGTGTAAGTGTCTACTCAATGCTCTTTGCATCTGATCTTCGTTCTGATGTGGAAATCATACAGGCCCCGAACGGCAAACCGTCCCAGACTTCCTCACGTCGATGACGTCTCCGAACGAAAGAAAGACCCGACCAGGCCACGAACACCGCGCCCCTCGAACTTCTGAAGAGTTCGCCGCGAGATGGAAAGCATCCAACCAGCACGCAGGCCTCATGGCAGACATCGCAGCTTACGATAGCAATCACTCTTCAAAGGACCGCCTCGAAGCGTTCCAGGACAGCATCAAAGCTGAGAGAAGTTCATGGCAACGAATCAAGTCGCCTTACATGATCACATATCTGAGTCAAGTCAAGCTATGTCTTTGGCGCGGGTGGAAGCGTCTGGTTGCCGATCCCGAGTTCACGCTGTCTTCTCTAGTGTTTAACATCATTGTTGGCTTTGTGCTCGGAAGCATGTTCTTCAACTTGAGGCATGATTCGGGGACGTTTTACTATCGTGGTGGGCTCATCTTCTTTGCTCTGTTGTTCAATGCTTTTGCTAGTGAAATGGAGGTTAGTACACATCATCCAGTGGTGATAGGAGATTTTTGTCTGGAAATCCGTGACTCGCTCCGATCTTGAAACTCACAATGACCTAGGTCCTCACATTATACACTCAAAGACCCGTCATCGAGAAGCACAATCGATACGCCCTCTACCACCAGTCCGCGGAAGCTATCTCAAGCTACATCACTGAGTTACCATACAAGATCACCAACGTTTTCACGTTCAACTCGATTCTCTACTTCATGGCAAACTTGAACCGCGAGCCCGGGCCCTTCTTTTTCTTCTGCCTCGTCTCCTTTCTGGTGCTCCTCGCCATGTCGGGCATCTATCGCACCATGGCATCCCTCGCACGCACTTCACATCAAGCCATGGTCCCCGTCACTCTCGTTACTATCGGCGTAATGATGTATGCCGGCTTCACAGTACCAACAACGTACATGCAGGGGTGGTCGCGCTGGATGGGCTATGTCAACCCGCTCTCTTATGCGTTCGAGGCGCTCATGGCTAATGAGTTCCATGGTCGCCAGTTCCTATGCGCTGGGCTCGTGCCGTCTGGCCCGGGCTATGATGATCTCTCTATATCTGGTCGCACCTGCGCTGTTGTGGGCGCCGTACCGGGCTCAGATATGATAAATGGCGATAGGTATATCGAGCAATCTTTTGGGTACTTCAACGATAATAAGTGGAGGTGAGTTTGTGGCGATAACCGAGTGTTTTGGGATTTCATCTGACCTATTCAAGGAACGTCGGCATTCTGTGTGCATACGTAGTGGTATTCTTCATCACGTACATCATCACTGCCGAGTACGCCAAGCCACCCAAGAGCGAAGGCGAAGTTCTTGTCTTTCGACGTGGCAAAGTACCTCCCGCGATGGACCAGAAAGCCCTAGCAGACGAAGAAAGTCAATCCCGCAATGTGACTCTGACCGAGAAAGTTCATGCCATGCCGACAGATGAGATGTTGGAGAAAAGACCAAGACCGAGTGAGTGCGGTAAGCCAATCTTCCACTGGGAAGATATCTGCTACGACGTCAAGATCAAAGACCAGAACCGGCGCATCTTGAATTTCGTGGACGGCTGGGTGCAGCCAGGTGTTATCACAGCTCTCATGGTATGTGTTCTTGCTTACAAACCCCCTTGTTCATCTCTCACTTTCAAACAGGGCGCCTCTGGTGCTGGTAAAACAACACTACTCGACGCTCTCGCGGCTCGAATCACCATGGGCGTGATATCCGGCGACACCATGGTCAACGGCCAAACAACAGACAGATCATTCCCAAACCGCGTTGGGTACGTCCAGCAGCAAGACGTCCACTTGGACACCATGACCGTTCGAGAGGCCCTCGAGTTCAGTGCATTGCTGCGTCAAAATGCCGAAACCCCTCGCGAGGCAAAGTTGGCGTACATTGACGAGGTAATTGAGCTGCTCGACATGCGCGACTTTATAGATGCAGTGATCGGAGTCCCTGGGCAGGGGCTCAACGTTGAACAGCGCAAACGTTTGACGATCGGAGTCGAGCTCGCTGCTAGGCCGCAGTTGTTAGTCTTTCTGGATGAACCTACTTCGGGGCTTGATTCTCAGACGTCTTGGGCGATCTGCGACCTGATCGAAAAACTTGCAAAGAGCGGCCAGGCGATTCTATGTACTATCCACCAGCCGTCTGCCATGCTTTTTGCCCGTTTCGATAGGTTGCTTTTGCTACAACGCGGGGGAAAGACTGTCTATTTTGGAGGTAAGTTGCTGTTGTCGTTGTTTTTGCTCCCTTCCCCAACAAGCTTTTCGCTTACATGTGCGTAGATATTGGCAAGAAAGCCAAGACGATGATTGATTACCTCGAACGCAACGGCGCATCGCCATGCCCTCCTGATGCCAACCCCGCAGAGTGGATGCTGAAGGTTACCACGCTTTCCGAGGACGGACCGAATTGGTATGAGATTTGGCGCTCATCTCCAGAATACCGCGAGGTGAAAAATGAGCTTGGTATTCTGCGTCAGCAGGGCCAAGACAAGCCCATAGAACGAATCGGAGATGATGATGTCGCCGACCAGGAGTTTGCCTCGTCGTTCTGGACTCAGTTCAAACATGTCTTTCTCCGTACAGCAAGGCACTTTTGGAGGTCTCCTGTGTACATCTGGTCAAAGCTTACTTTAACTATTCTTCTGGTAAGATGCTCCTCTTGGTGATTCCTCATGCCGCCTACCTCACCTTCCGTACTAACTCAAATTACCTAGGCGCTCTACATTGGATTCACGTTCAAGTCGGACAATAGCTTGCAAGGCCTGCAGAACCAACTTTACGCCTTCTTCATGTGCCTCACGACTGTCAACGAGTTCAGCAAGCAGATCATGCCCATGTTCATTCCACAGAGAGCTCTTTACGAAGTACGAGAGAGGCCGTCTCGCGTCTACCGATGGACCAGTAGGCATCCTCATCGTGGGCATTCTGCATTAACGAAGCTAACCAATCTGCAGCATACTTCCTCTCTAACATCGCAATCGAGATGATCTGGAACACCATCGCCGCAGTCATATTCTTCTTCTGCTGGTACTATCCAGCCAAATTCTACCGCAACACCACCCCCGAAGACGTCACGATCCGCGGCTTCACCGTCTTCCTCTTCATCTGGATGTTCTTCCTCTGGGTCAGCACATTCTCCCAGCTCGCCATCGCTGCAATCGAGACAGCAGACCTAGCCAGCATCCCAGCCAGCTTGTTTGCCATCCTCTGCATGTCTTTTTGCGGCGTGGGCGTCATTCGCGCCGACCTACCCGCCATATGGAGCGACTTCATGTACTGGGTCAGTCCCATGACGTATCTCGTAAGTGGTGCGCTGTCGACTTGTCTGCATGGATCCAAGGTCGTTTGCACGGCAAAGGAGATCGTGTCTGTTCCGACTCCGATGAACATGACCTGCGGCGAATTTCTGGGCCCCTTTGTTCAGCGCGCTGGTGGATATTTGGTGGATGCTGCGGCGACGCAGACGTGTGGGTACTGTCGTTTGAATACCACGGATGATTATCTTGCGACTTTCGAGATAAATTACGACGATAGATGGAGGAACTTTGGGCTTTTGTGGGTGTATGTTGTGTTCAATATTGTTGCAGCGTGTGGTCTCTACTGGCTCGTTAGGGTGCCCAAGGGGCAAGGGGTTGAACGGAAGTGAACTAAGAGGTTGCGCTGAGATCAAGGCGGTGTTCACTTAATGTGTAAAACAAGCATGGAATGGCGTCATTCTCATCTAAGGTACGAAAGATAATTGTGTAATATCTAGACATGGGAGTTGTTGGAGTTGAGAAATTTCAGGTACTCATTTCGACATGAACAAGAGAAAAGCTGGATGAGCCTGCAAGCTCCCTCTAATTACCGATCCACGCCTTTCACGACAAGGCCCTCCAGTCACCTGGAGAACAAGCCTCTGAGAATGAATATCCTAGTGACTTTCCATCGAGCATATTCACATCTGTGGGAGAAATATGGGACTGATTGCCACAGCTGCAGACGTGGGACTTGTGAGAGTTGAGGGTACAGCACACAAGAAGTAGTAAGCGGCGTGCTCATAGTGTTGACGCGCATGGACCCGTGACGACCGGGTAAGCCCTTTCCCGGCCGCCACGTTGTGGACCCCCGCCTCGTGAAGAAATCTCCGGGGCCCCGACTCCGGGGTAAACCACTCCTTCGGTCCCCTTCAATTCTGGTCGCATTCTATGTCGGAATTGCGAGTAGCTAAGAGATCAGCTATTGCCCCACACATCTTTACTTGGTGAATGTCTATTCGAGCTGTTGGAATAAGTAGGCGAAGCCAGAGGGATGTGGATACATCCAGAATCCCATCCCAACCGTGGTCCATGCCAGCGCCGTCTTCCCCAGGATCTCCAAATTTGAGGTGCTATCAACCTCATCTGAGTTGAGGACCACACTCAACAGCCAAGAAGCTTGGTTTCCAAAGAGAAGCTGGCTTCTAATACGATGCCGACTCTACCGCTGGTCGGCCCAGCCGTCAACTCAACTAAGCCCTTTGGCCAACAGTCACCGCCACACGCATCATGGCACGGCTTCATTCCCGGCCGACGTAGCTACGCCCCCGACGCCTCCATCGTGCTCGTCGGAATCCGAGGCACAGGCCGCTCAACTCTCGCCGTGATCGCGGCCAGCGCTTTAGGGTTCCGCTTACTCGACGCGGACCAGCAATTCTTCCAGATGACGGGCCTCTCACGAGCCAGTTACAAGACACAGCACGGTACTGCTGAATATCGAAGGGAAGAGCTGAAGCTTCTGCATGCCATGCTATTCGAGAATCCGACAAAGTCTATTATTGCGTGTGGGCCAGGAGCTGTGGAAGAGACGGGGCAGGCGTGGCTTGCGGAATATGGACAGACGCATCCTATCATCTATGTCCTGAGAGATGCGGAAGACGTGAAGGAGCATCTCAAGGTATGGGATACTGAGGCTATCACACGACTCTTTCAACTTAGTGGTCCAACGCATCGATCGATATCCAACTTTGAATTTTACAACATTTCAGATACCCTAGGGAAGGCCTCGGGCGAGCTCGCCACTATCCCCGGCCACCAGTCACCGAGGTCTCTTGCGTTAAAGCGGGTGGAGTACGACTTTCTCGGACTCATTGACAGCATCATGGAAAGCGACAGGCAGGGCTCGGAACGGTACCGTGCCACCGAGGGCTCTGCTTCATTACCACTGGAGCGCCGGCCATACACATATTCTCTCAACTTGCCAATGTCATTGGTAGAGACCGCCGGGGCGGAACTTCGAAATATCACGACAACAGCCGACGTTGCGGAACTAGTCATCCCTGTGAGGGAACTACAGGCAACGTCGGCCGATTTCGACGATGCAACTGCGAATCGCGTCTGTCGCTTGCTCTATGCCGTCAGGAGATTCACTCGTCTCCCTATCATCCTCAATCTCGAACTCGAATCCTCATCTACTGGCATAATGAGCGGCTTCTCGCAAGAACACGCCTCCGCATACTACCTTAGCGTCCTAAACCACGGCCTCCGTCTCGCTCCAGAGTACCTCTGCGTAGATCTCCGCTGCGACGAGAACATCATCCGAGATCTAGTCGCAAGTAAAGGAACAACAAAGATCATCGCCCACTACACCTGCAACTCCCTCTCTCCAAGCGGCTGGCGGAACCCAGGCCTGGAGGACAAGATGAGGTTGGCCGAGGACCTGGGCTGCGACGTCGTCCGAATATGTCGCGAGGCAAAGTCAACCAAGGACAATTTCGAGATTCAGCACTTCAAGCATGGCGCCGGCAAGCCCAGAGATGTGACGATCCCGCTTATTGCGTACAACACAGGCCGCCTCGGCCGCATGTCCTGCTTCATGAACCCGACCTTCACGCCGGTCACCATGAACTTGCTTCGGAGACTGGCACCAGGCGGCTCGCCTCATTGCCTCTTGACGATCCACGAGGCGCAAAAGGCACTCTACTCTTCCTTTCTCCTAGACCCGATGTACTTTGGCATCTACGGCACCAACGCATCCACAAGTTTGTCGCCAAGCATGCATAACCCCGCCTTCAAATTCTGCGGTATGCCGCACGAGTACAAGATCTTCCACCAGCCTACCCTAAATCACCTACGTAAGCTCATCTCCGACGAGAACTTTGGAGGCGCGAGTATCACAGCCCCCTTCAAGAAGGAGGTCTTTGCCATTGTCGACTTCACGAGCCCAGAAGCCAGGGCCATTGGCGCCGTCAACACGCTGGTGCCTCTGCGGTCGCGGAACATTGAGTCTTTGCTTGATCGCAACAGAGCTGGCCCAGTCGTTGCTCTGTATGGCGATAACACGGACTGGATCGGGATACACACCCGCATTCGGCACAACCTGTCTCCCATCAACGGCGTCAAGAGGAGGACAACGGCGCTAGTTGTGGGTGCGGGAGGTATGGCTCGTGCAGCCATATACGGGCTTCTGAGGCTCGGTGTCCGCACCGTGCTTATACACAATCGAACGACGAGGACGGCCGAAGAGGTTGTAAGGCACTTCAACGGGTACCGATTCACGAGCGACGGGGCATCGACGCCGACGGAGGTCAACGCCTCGCCGAAAGTTGACGCTCCTCCAAACAGTCCCACGATCCGTGTTATAGAATCCAAAGATGATAAGTGGCCAGACGACGCTGACTTTCCAACCATTGTGGTATCGTGTATCTCCACGCGTGAGATCGACGGGGAGTCGTCGGCTGATACGAGTCTGCCTCCGGGATGGCTGGCTAGTCCTACAGGCGGAGTAGCCATTGAGGTAAGTTCGATATCCGCAAACGGATCAAATGAGGTGAAACTGCTAACATACATTCGCAGCTATCGTATACGCCTCTGGAAACACCTCTCCTGAAGCAGATCCGTGGCATGAGCGACCAAGGGTGGATCGCCGTCGACGGCCTAAGTGTTTTGCCGGAACAGGGTAAGAGACAATTTGAGCTCTTTACAGCACGCAAACCTCCGATCGAGATGATGCGTGAGTTGATTTCGCGAGCGTATAAGGAAAGGCTTGCAGACGGGGGCAAGATGCCAACAAGAGGGTAGCAATCTTGGCAAGGTTAGCATTCATGTGAGCGTAGCGTTTCAATGATGATATTTTCTTCACCACACTTGATTATGAGCAGTCGATGGAATTATTCACTGGTAGAATGGTATGTGCAGTCAATGAGTGTGTGGGAAATATCCTTCATGAGGAAACGTTGCCCACAAAAAGCGCATGTGGTGGCTAGCCTGATGGTAGCGGGAAAGACCTTTACCGTCCTGACAAGACACACGCCAAGCTTCTGACCGATGATGCCGATGAACGATCAATATCACGGCGCCATAATCGCAGTGTCATTTTAACATCGCAGTGTAGGTTTACTGAGTATAGCATGGATATTTCTGTGCCAGCTGCAGGCATATCGAACCTAAACCGCCCACAAAGCCTTTCGCACTCAAACCTTTCCACACCCCTAGCTCAGATCACGAGCTAGCAAAGCCAAGCTGTCAAAGACGCCAAAGCCTGAGAGATAATGGGGTCCATGGAAGCAAACCCCTCTATCCTGAAGAGGAACTTCTTCATCTTCGGTCATAACATCTCCCACACCCTCTCTCCAACCCTTCATAACACAGGATTCCGAGAACTTGCCCTCCCACATCATTACGGTATCCACCAGACAGAGAGCGTCGACGCCTCGGTAGAATCCATCATCAACGCCAATGACTTCGGGGGCGCATCAGTCACCTTTCCGCACAAACTACAGATTGGCAAGCTCTTGGATGCAGTCACTCCCTGCGCCCAGAAGATTGGGGCCGTGAATACCGTCATTGTCGAGGAGGACCCGGAGAAGCGGTATAGGCGACTTGTGGGCGATAATACGGACTGGCATGGGATAAGGAGATGCATCGAGCGCAGCGGAATATCGGATCTTCGTTCCTCGACTGCGTTGGTTCTGGGTGCTGGTGGGGCGGCTCGCGCGGCTTGCTATGCGATCCAGGAGTTGGGGATTACGCAGCTTCTCGTTGTGAACAGGACGATATCGAAGGCGGCCGAGATGATGGAACAGTTCCCAGACCTTGATTGCCAGGTCTTTGAGACCTTGGAAGATGCCGTATCTACCGAAAGGGAGCGAGATGGCTTGGATAGACTTCCTTTGAGAGTCATTGTCGCCTGCGTTCCTGCGGATGACTTTGGCGAGGACAAGATACCTGCAGGGCTGTTTGGCGCTGAGAAGGGAGTTTTGGTTGAGATGGCGTATAGACCGCAGGTTACTGGTATGATGAAGACGGCATCACGGCATCCGGGCTGGACGATGTTTAAGGGTGTTGATGTACTGGAGGAACAGGCTTATGCCCAATTCGAGTTGTGGACTGGGAAAGAAGCACCAGTCGAGGCGATGAAGGCTGCCATGCAGGCTAAGATCAATGAGAGATGATAGAATGTTATGCCGTAGACAGAGCTTAAGACTTAAGTAAACTCGGGTGGAAATTCGGATATTCTACCCTCAATTCAGCCTCTACTTTATTGTTGAGGTGGAAGGAGATCAAGTTCCATGAAGGTGCAGACAACCATCCGACAGCAGCGTGTGTGTAGCACTATGTTTTGCGCAGAATACCTCACCACCTACCTTAGTCTGCGACATAGAATCTGAAGATCATGAAAAGGATTTTGGGAAGGCATTTCTTTGATCACCATTATATCATATTTGCCAGTCCTCTACACGTCTATGGTATTTCCTTCAAGCCACTCCTTGGCCTGCCAGTAAAGTAAGTCGTGCTTGTCCAGGTTCACCGTCCCAACATGACGCCGATGCCCAGGCATATTCAAAAGAACTTTGACTCCCATCGTGAGCTCCTGGAAATACGCGAGATACTTGTACCCAGGAGGAAACGCAGCCAACTTTCCCTCATCAATCTCGGGGAACTTGGCCGGGTTGCAGGGAATCACCTTATCCTTCTCATACCAATGCCGTACCAGACGCGCGCCCCATCGATCTCCCACTTTTTCAAAGTAGAAACAGAAGCGGCAGTCAGCTTCTACGTCAAACTCGACGCTGTCAATCTCGAAGCGCTGTGTAATCGTCGCCTTGAGCTTGGTCACGGCCCTGGTGCCCTCGGCGTTGATATCTGTGCTGCAGCCGTGGCAGCGGTGCATGATAAAGGCGCCTTTGTCCATCCCTGCTTTGGAAGCCGCGATGAAGTCTGTGAAAGGGACGCGGCCTGACCAGGTTGTGTAGACGTAGGCCCCTGGGTGGAAGATGGACTCGAAGTTTTCCCATTCGCAGGCGTCCCTGGAGATCAATGCTGGTCAGTTACAACCTGCCAAAGTGATGCTCATTTGACCACAAATTGGGCGATGTTTTACCTGTAAGACGGCCATCCTTCTGCCAATTCTCTCAACTTCAATCTTTCTAGAACCAAGTGATCTGGCCCATTGTTGCGGATGGCGTTGATGGGACGGGACCCTGCAGGAAGACTGTGTAAATCAGGCATGTTTTCAAGGAGTGATTTGCCTAGTGATCACCGTTTCCTTGCAAACCTGGAGTTCAATAATGAGCATCTACCGCGATGCAGACCTCATATGCCGGAAAAGACATCATGTAAGTGACTAAGCCAATCACGAGGCCATCCTATTAGGGAGCACTTCGCTATTCGGCACATCATCCGGCTCTTCCATCTCGGTGCGTTGGTGAGAGGCCGAACGGATGAAAACTTTGCCGCGTTGGGATCGCGGGGGCGCGGGGGTCCCGCATCTTGTTTCCCCGCACCGATTCACGGAGCGATTTGGGCTTGACTCGGTCCACGCGGAGATGATTTGAGGGGAACCTGGGGAAAGTGTTTAACCAGTTTTTATTTCCAGCTCCCTACTTGAAATCTTTGGATCCTGCATCTAATTCCCTTTGCAAGTTCGATATCTCACCTGTACATCATCAATTATCCTCGCGATTCGTCCTACGAAGCTAATTCCACCTATACAGCAATTCAAACAAACACCCGCGCTTGAGTCACTACGAATAGTACGGAATAGCAACCACAATGGCGAAGTCAATCCTCCTCATCAACGGCCCCAACTTGAACCTCCTCGGTACCCGGGAACCGCACATCTACGGCTCCACCACACTCTCTCAGCTCGAGACGCAATCAAAAGAGCACGCCAAGTCTCTCGGCGCAGACCTGCAATCCTTCCAATCCAACACTGAGGGCGCCATCGTCGAGCGCATACACGCGGCGCGGGGCAACGTCGACGTCATCATCATCAACCCTGCCGCCTACACACACACGAGCGTCGCCATCCGCGACGCGCTGCTGGGCGTCGATATCCCCTTCATCGAGCTGCACATTAGCAACACGCACGCGCGAGAGAGCTTCAGACATCACAGCTATTTGAGCGACAAGGCGGTTGCGGTTATTATGGGGTTGGGAATTCATGGATATGGGTACGCCATTGATCATGCCGTTAAGAATATCAAGCCCAAGGCATAAATAAATTCGATCAAATAAATTTGTTAAACCACTTCCCAAATATTGGACATTTACTTGGCCAGAATGAAAGGTTACCCCTCTGTCAGTGGCGACATCTCTCTACCACGAAGAGCCATTGACTCAAATTCTTCATCGTCCTCGTATCCCAAATGTGCCAGAGCTCGGCTCTTTCTAGCTTGCTGTAAGTCCCTGCAGGGCCCATCCGTGGTCCAAAGCGATTTGAAAATCGACGGCTGATCTGTGAGCTGGCGCGTTGCTGCCTCGCAGATACAAGCGACGAACTGCTTGGTGGCTGCTTTCATCTCCGGAGAGTTCGACTTTCTCACGAGAAGCTGAAACCCGTCTACTACACAGAACAACAGCGGGGGAAGATATTCCAACAAGGACTCAAGTAGGTTGATCGCTGGAGCTAAGCTGCGGGTCACCTCGGAACGGGTCTGCGGGATCGGAGGAATCGATTTGACTTTTTCGACAACACCTGACTCGAAATGCGCATGCTCAGGAAGAGCCCGGGATATCTGGTAGACCAGGGAGTACACCATCTCTAAGAGCGCCCGTTCGCGGTCCAAAGATGCGCTTTTAGGTCGATGGATGAAGTGACAGAGGCTGGGAATATTCAGCTGACTGAGATCGTGAACCATTTGGGCTGCTAGCAAAGTCGCGTGCGAAGGCGGTTCGTCGTCGTCTCAACATTAATGAGAATTAGCCAGATGATCTTTTTAGGCTGTAAGAAAGGGAGATTCCTCACCCGGCACTTCAATCCAGAGAGCTACCGATCGCCTCGAAGAGACTAGCTTCACGAGATAAGCCCGCTTCTCTGCACTCACGAACACTTGCTTCAATGGGGACGTCAGAGATGCAATATGAGCAACCTGATGGAATGTCTCCAAGTGCTTCAGGGAATCCTGGATTTTTTCCAATGTCCAGAGATCCCTCTCGTCGCTGAGTTCATCTTCAAGCATCTCCGGCTCAACTATTTCCTTACCACTACTGGAATGACATCGCTTGTTAGAACCTTCAGACGTGCTATCTTCTTTCCTCCCGGATTTTGCGGTAGTATCCTGACTATGTGGTAAAGTCTTGAATGACGCCACTTCAGTTAGCGAAGAAACCCTCGGAGCGTCGCACAGTCTGGATCGATCGACAGCGGCGCCAACCAAACTGGCCTGGACAAGACTTCCGAGTCGGTCAAGCTTTGCATTCATGTCATCAATAGTACTCTGCTGAATGAGAATAATGCTGTGCATGATATCGTCTTTGCAGGCGGTCATCTTCCTGACTGCTGTATCGCAGTGGCTTAAAATACCGTCTCCAAAACTGTTAAAGAAGCGTTTTGAGGAGGATGAAAGCCACTCGGTCAAGATAAATACGAGAAATTGGAACAAGTGGCAATAGAACTTGCTGACTTGCCACCTGATATACTGGCGACGGGGATTCGCCCCGAGGGCGTTCCTGAGAAGCGACACTTGGCTTGAAAGGCGTTCTAGGCAGTCGGATACGTTTTCTGCAGTGTCACTGTACGTCACCGCAACCTATGGTTCGTTAGCAATCTTCGATTGCTCCAACGTGGACAAATACGGGTAAGTGGGTGCTTGAAAGAGACAATCATACCTGGATCAGCAGTGTGAAAGAGCCAACCAAGACTGAGGTGTATTTGTCTCCTTCAGGTAGAAGTTTGAGCAAGTATTTGTGGCTATTGATAGTTTCCGCCACTCCGACAAACCAAGACTTGATCTTGCCAGATCTTGTGCTCGATTTGGCATTGAGCTTGTCTCGTGCTTGATTGAAAAGTCTGCCAAACGTTCGAATATCGGGTTTAGAGGGAATGCTATCCCTCTCGCCTTTCGGTAAAGATTTAACGACCTTGGGCCACTGTGTCTCTAGATCCCGGGATATGCCTGCTAAGAGAACGGTGTCATGTAGCTCGACGTCTCTGTCCGTGGAATTATCAGCACAAAGTAAATGCAAGTAGCAAGGAGCTCTTGGTGAACCTTACCCTAAGCTCGTACCTTGGTAAATTTCTAACGATTCTAGGGCCGAAACCTCAGAAATGGTTCTACCAATGGCTTCATCTCGTCTCTCTAAGTCTACTTTCGTAGCTAGAGCTTGTCTAGAATGTCAAAATTGATATGTCAGGAATGAGGGCACTGGATGTTTTGATTGCATGTACTTGCGGTAAGTTGCCACCAGTGCTCTCTCGCTGCATCTGGTCAGTGTAACGACGCACCATTCGCAAAGCCGGCTCAGCTGCTTTGGCGCTCTGAGATATCATGGCAGCGGGATTTACTTCCGCTCGAGATCCAAGTGAATCAATTGAGCCTGCGGCATTCTTAGAAATGTTGGAGGGTCATAAAGAAGAAGGAGTGTGTGCTACCTACCAACAAAGAAGGAAAGGTCAGCCATGGATTCGTGCAAGCAAATTATCTAGGCAGCTGCTGCTGGTGTTTGCCATCGAATTGCTAAAAATACGTCAGGCTGAGGCCTCACTCACTTCAATGCCAGCGAGTAAGATGCTCTCAGAATGTTCTGGCGGATGGCTTCTAAAATCGGGGTGGTAGCCCGAAATGTCGCAGAGTACCATGTAAGCGTGGCTCGTAAAGATTGATGAGCATCAGCGTAAAACCCCACTAATGGTTTCTATGTCAACGGTAGCTGAGACAGAAGGACCCATAGGCCTCGAAGCCGGACGTTCGTTTTGAAGGTATCAATCTGTACCAAGCGTGCAAGGAAAAGACCAGCCTCGACTCCCTCGACGGCGTCATACAACCCCTCTGCTATATCAAAACTGGCAAGGGTCAGGCGCCTGTTATTCGCAGAGATGGAGAACCCCGTCTCACCGTGCCAATACTCGCTCTGCAGTAAGCCTACCTAGCGTAGCGAGCCTGCTTGATATTTGCCGCTCATACCGATGTATTGGCAACCATGAGTGATATGAGCCAATAAGCAACAGAGATTGTCGGCTTCATCGAGGCAGGCTGGCACTTGGGTCTTTTGGCAGTATCCTAAAAGAGTATATCTGCTGTTACCCCCGCGCCTGACAGTGTGGAAGTCCTGGACTAAGCCAATGAGATTATCTGCCACATTCTGTCAAATCTCATCTGCGTCTACAATTGTTTTCGCTTTGGGTTAGTGGGCTGCTGGCAGGGCAAGGAGGTGCGCTCGGCGTCTCGAAACCCATCCTCCGTGGGTATGAATTAGGGACGGAGACAGGCGATGTCGCAGGGGCACAGCATGCATCCGTTCCGGGGATCATAAGGTTATAAAGCACGTTGTCTGAGTGAAGTAACTGGTTCGGCGCTCGATTTCTTTGAAGAGTAGCAGCTAATCAGGCGTACGCACCTCTGAGGGCGTCATCCCCTACAAGATCCTGAACTTGCAATAATGTCGGCAATAGCGACTATCACAGACATCGACACAGCCATGCCTGCTCACGAACTTCCAGTGAATGGCTCAGCGTCAGAAAAGCCAAATATCTCTGAGACTGAGGCGACAGGCATCAATGACATCTCTCCCCAAGACACGATTAAGGAGACCGAGCCTCCTCGGAAGCCATCGAAAATACGTTACACGGCGTCCTGTTACAATCACAACGGTCAGAACTTTGACTACTCCCAGGATGAGCCATTTCCATCCCAAGTTCCTCCACACGATGAGAAAGCTAAGCCTGTAATTGAGGTCGTCACCAACATGAATGTTGGGCTCAAGGGTGACATAAAGCAACCCATCGAAAGGAATCACGAAAACGGTATAAACAAGAAAGAAACAATGAGCGACAAGGCCATAAGAGGGATTGGAAGTTCACGCATCATAGTTCATTCCCCGTACTTGTCCGAGCTGATCCGCGACGCCGTCGACTATTATCCTGGGCAAAATCTGACTGGAGAGACCATCACAATCCACGAACCTTACGGAGTTCTGCTGCATAACTGGGAGAAATTGGGCCAGATCTATGCTTCTCGGGAGGATTCCCCGGAGTTGGTCACGGATGGTCAACAGACTAAACTTGAACACTTGGGCGTGTTGCTTGAATATTTGAATCCAATCGTCAAGAGCAAGCTCGAACCCATGCAGAGACGGCTGGGACAGGACTCGCCCACAACTACTTGGGATGACCTCTGGTATCTACTACGACCCGGTACGCAAAGTTATTGCAAGTGGGACCACCAGTGGATAGGTTGCATCGTCGAAGACGCCAAAAAATGCGCCCCGGACGCAGAAGACAATCTCCCAGAACGATGGAAGGTGAAGATATGGTTCCTCGCGATGCATTGGTCTTACGGAACACTGGTCACTGTGACCAATACTATCGACATTTCTAAGTTTGAAGGCGAGAAAAAGGTCGAACATCTGGATGTTTTTCCAGAGAAGTACTCCAAGGGCGAGCGGAAGAAGGAATTCGAGAGTCGTGGTGATCAGATCTGTGACATGCTCTGGAGGGGGTATGAATATGCCCATTACGATGGCGAGTTGATGAGCAAGAAGAGGAAAAAGGTATGCAAATACTCATTCTAAACGAACTAAAGTTTAACACCAAATCAGTACAAGGGGAAGATCATTCTCAATGCCTATGGTGATCAAAATTACCCAACTTTTGATGAAGACGAGTGGAGTTTCGATTTGGTCTCGGAACCTGCACCTGACCAGGCAAGGCCAACTAACGGTCCTTCGGGTGTACTGCAGCCCCTATGGCTTGATCCCACGAAAGACTCGAGAGGTCCAGTGACAGCAGCTCACAAATTTATCACTTGCCCAGTTGTACCTGGCTTCACTCTTCCAGCGAAGACCTGGGGTACTGAACACTGCCTCGCTCAAGTCGCCTGGAACCAGTTTGCTAACAGTGAATAGTCTCGGCACATGTGGGAAGCATCCAAGACCTGGTACAGGAGGAAGTACCTGAAGCGATCGTCAGTGGAGAGAAGCTGAAAATTATCAAGGCTCTAGCCGAACGCCAATTGACTGCGAAGCCCTGGTCAGCAGACTACATCAAGAACAAGGGTGAAGGAGTCGTCATCCTTCTTCACGGTAAGTACATGTACACTCACTACTCATAGTATGAGCTCAGTATCAATGCTAATAGCCTTTACAGGGCCTCCTGGCGTGGGAAAAACTTACACAGTCGGTATGTGTGAGTCCTCGTAGATGGCGATGTTGCACTTCTGACAAGATTAGAATCGATTGCTATGCGGAAGAGGCAGCCATTGATCAGCCTCACGATATCTGATTTACGCACCCAAGATGCGTCCGTAGAAGAGGAATTGACTAGGTGGTTCAAGATGGCCGACAAATGGCGCGCCATTCTTCTCATAGACGAGTGTGACGTCTTCCTCGAGCGGCGCGAGAAGAAGGACATTGAGCGCAACGCAATCGTATCGGGTACGTTTATGTATCGTCGACGCAATGCGTGTATGAGACTTCTACTGACTGCCCTCATACAATAGCCTTCTTACGAAAGATAGAGTACTTTGGAGGTCTTCTGTTTCTCACAACCAACAGAGTCGGCCACATTGATGACGCCTTCATGTCTCGTGTCCACGCTGTTATTGGTTTCGATCCGCTGGATGGTGCACGTCGTGAAAAGATTTGGGATAGTCTTCTTGCGAAGCTCAACCGCGAGCGAAAGGGGGCAATTCGCATCAGCAATGGTGCTAAGAAATTTTTGAAGACACCGGAGGTGCTTGAGTACACGGATTGGAACGGTCGTGAGATTCGCAACGCCTTTCAAACAGCCATCGCGCTTGCCGAGTATGAGGCTAAAGATGCCTCGGACTACGACCAGACGCAGGAAATCATTGTGGAGGCCGAACACTTCAAAGACGTGATGGCAATGAATAAATCCTTCCGGTCCTATCTGGACAGCATCAAGGACTCCACTGAGGGGGAACGGGCGCATTCAGCTGCGTGGAGGAACGACTCCTGGAACGCCGAAAGCAAAGGAAATTAGACCAAACTTGCGATCCGCGATCACAATAGGTTCAAATACTTTCATTGGTTATATTTCATTACAGCTCGAATAACTTTGGACTCGCCGTAATTACAAATTCTGGCTTTCTCTGCAATTTTACAGGTTCCAATTGCGGCCTGTGGCATATGGAAGCGCTGTCTGTCACTGCTCTTCCCGGATTGGCAGGCATGTAATTAGATCTTTTGTTCTATCCTTATGCTCATGTCCTTAGTTCGAACCCCGCGACCACTCAGAATTATGAAAATTGCAGCGACCAGTGACATCAATTTGGTTGCTGAAGTGGGCAATCTAGGCGGCAAAGATCTTAGCCGCCCGAGATCGGACACTCACGTATGCTGCATTTTAGCATATTGCCTATAGTGGTCGAGAGAAACATTGTAGAACACTTCAAACATGGCCGAGTACCTCGCTGCCCAAGTCACTGCAATGAGACTCGTATCATTATAACTCATTTTTAAGTGTATTCATGAGCAGATTATAAGAAGAACATCAGTCGTTTCGCATTTGTCCTAAGCACGCAATTAGAGAAGTTTGGTTGCAAGGCAGCATGGCAGCTATTGCTGTATTACATACCTCCATTGACGCATTTCTCTAGTAAGTACATGCAGCTAGTGGGGCTTTGACCACGCATTCTGTCCATGTGCCTCTAGTTACTCTGTATTTTGAATACTGTGAAACGCTGCGAGGAATCTACCTGATTGATCAAAGTGGTTTCTATGACTGTCTCCATCGAATCTACGATTCAATGTTCCTGCGGGCCTGCTTCCAGTCACACCGAGTAGGCTGGCAAGATGGCTTCCTTTCCACCCAAGCGACAATCTAGGGGCAAAGACGATGATGGGCTATCACCAACGACCTCGCGACGAACGAAAAGGAACAAGACCGACGCTACAGAAGAATCCGACGAAGGGAAAACAGCACGAGGAAAAGTCAGATTACGCGTTACCCGAGCCTGCAACGAATGCCGTAGGCGTAAAGACCGATGCGATGGGATCCGCCCCTCATGCAATTCCTGCCTGAGCATCGGACGTAGCTGTAGCTACGGGCCTGCGAAGAAACGTGGGCTGCGCACTGGATACGTAAGAGCTCTTGAGCTACTTCTTGGCATGATAGTCAACACTATCGACGACGCTGATGACTGGCTGGCTGCGATACTCGACGGCGAAGAACGACGACCGAGGTTCGGGTTACAAGATTTGAGTCTGCTGATATCCTCCAAAACGGATGTCACTGATTCACTGGCGGAGTCTTGGAGGACAAGCACCACTTCAAAGACGGTAGAGAGACTTCTCTCTGTCGATGAATTTGCAGAAAGCCTCGAAGATGGCGAAGCCTTCAAGAAGTTCGAGTCAGGCATTAGGGAGGCCACCAAACTCGCAGCCAAGTTCTCGGCAGACCAGATCCCTAACGTTGACAACGGACCAGACATGATAACTCCCGCATATACCAACGCCAGCCAACCCGACTACTCACCGACTGGAACAGTCACTCTCTCAAAACAGGATATCGATTCGACTCTCTCACTCTATTCGCTTCAGCCGACTTTCCCACAAAATGCCTTGGTTATGCCACAGGTCCCAACACCACAACGCCATACCTCCCCGCCGCAGATCCCTCCAAATTGGGCACAGCTACTGGACGTGTACTTCGCCAACACACATTCATGGCTACCCGTGGTGCAGAAGCATGATCTTATGCGATTGGTCTACCTCAAAGCCAATAACGATAAGGATGCCAACACATCAAATGCTATACATAGCGGAGATCCCTGCTTTCTCTGGACAGTCATGGCCTATTCCCTGCGCCAGTCGGGATCTTTGGAGCTTTCAAAGGCCTTCCTCGAGTCAGCGACAGGTATTCTAGCCAAAGACAATGGAAAGTATGAGATCGGTCACATACGAGCCATACTCATTGTGGCACTTATTAGACTGGAAGAGCAAGACATTGGAGCCGCGTGGCTCGCAATCGGCCAAGCCACATACTCAGCTGCCATGTCGTTTCTTACTGTCATTGGCGATGGGCCCTTGCAGAAAGACGAGGGCACACGGCGAACACTTATGTGCGTCTTTGTCCTTGACACGCTCATCGCAAGCTTGGCAAAGTCACGGCCATATCTCGACTCCACGGACGCACAGCGCTTTGGCTTGCTTGTCACAGAGTCCATGGAAGAATGGGAGCCGTGGCATTCAAAAGATTTGGATGACCAGGCGCAGCCGCCGAGCCACACTCCAGGACTGACATTGAGCACGTTCAATTCTTTCTTCCTTCTTGTTTCCATTCTAAATGATATCGTGAGACTTGAGATGGGAAGCGACAATGTTGGCCGTTATTATCATATCATCAGGGACTTTGAAGAATGGAGGAAGCGTCGTCTGCCGGACCATGGAAATCAGCATGATGTTGCAAATACGCCGCAGGATACGAATCTCCGTCTCGCTTGCGCCAGTATTTCCGAGACTCTTACGACACAAGGGCAACGCCTTAAGGGTACACCATATAGAGTGCCCAGCAAGGGATCCCCGGAACTGCTTGTTCAAGAGCAATCTCTTCTTAAACTTCTCGACGCCACCAAGACATTTCGCATGCCTCCGACATCGATAGCCTTTCTCAATAGCCTCGAAGCCGCTTACGAAAACCGAATGAATAGCACACAGGGACTCGGAGGATCTCTTGGGGATTTGCAATCCTTAAAGACGGCCCTTGCTGATGCCCAAAAGAGAATTTCCCGGAGACACAGCCCTCCTACAACTTCTCGCAGTGAAATCGCCGAAAGCGAGCCAGCGGTAATGGAAGCCATAACAGAATCCACATCTGCTCATCAATCGGACCTGCGGCAGTTTCAGCCAGAAGCGCAGGTGAGCTTCAGTGAACTTATGGACACTGCGACGGAGAACATTGGCGGTGAACTCTTCATGAGCCTCGCTGATCTCGACTCAGCTGATTGGTAAATACGCGAACATTTTGCATATCGTATTGGACTCGGTATCTAACAAATGGAAATAGGTCGGCAAACCCACCAGAGTTCATGCGGCATCTCGGAGTTGTAGGCGACATGGCGACGGATATCCAGTCATTCTTTGACCAAGAGCCCGGGTGAAGTTGGGTCTTCACCAAACTGATCAAATTCTTCGGACTTGCGGAATATGCAGTAGACGCCAGTGGCATAGACCGGAACTACGCTTAGCCGCCTTCTTGAACTGCCATTTTTGACATCACCCGGGTCTTGCACAGCTTACTAACTTTGGGTGAAGTGCGGGGTCAATGGCATTGACGGATGATGGATCATTTAGCATCGAACCAACAGTCTCGAACACATATGACCTTGCTACGGGGCTTGTTCGCCACGACGACACCCAATCTCTCGTCTCAAAGCATAGCCGTCACCGTCGCCACGTCCAACCATGACTGTTTTCCGACCCGCCATACTCTCTGCGTCTCTCGGCCGCGCCTGGGTCCACGATTTTGACAAGAAGGTCACTGAGGCAGCAAAGTATGGTTTCGAAGGCATCGAGATATTCTACGAGGACCTCGAATACGTTGCCAAAAAGCTCCATGACATCGATCAGCCTGCCCCGGAGCACCTCCTTTCCGCCGCAGAGCATATCCGTAAGGCACTCGAAGAGCTGAAGATCACAATCATCGGTCTACAGCCGTTCCTTTTCTACGAAGGTCTTTTGGATAGAGATCAACATGCCCGACTCATCGAGAAGATTAAGCTTTGGTTCAAGTTGGCCAAGACCCTGGGGACCAACACGATCCAGATACCCGCCAACTTCCTCCCCGCCGACCAGCTAACTGGTGACATGGATGTCATCGTTGCCGATTTAGTCGAACTCGCAGATCTGGGTCTCAAGGAAGACCCGCCCATCCGGTTTGCGTACGAGAGTTTATGCTGGAGTACGCATGTCGACACATGGGAGAAGTCCTGGGAGGTTGTCACGCGTGTCGACCGCCCAAACTTCGGCCTCTGCCTCGACACCTTCAACATCGCCGGCCGCGTCTGGGGTGATCCGGCATCTCCGTCCGGGAAGACCCCAAATGCAGATACAGACTTGAAGGCATCGATGGAGAGGTTGGTGCAGAGCGTCGATTTGGAAAAGGTGTTTTACATCCAGGTTGTTGACGCCGAGCGGATGGAACAACCTCTCGTAAAAGGCCATCCTTTCCACGTGGACGGCAATCCGTCGCGGATGATGTGGTCGAGAAATGCGAGAACGTACATGTATGAGACGGATCGCGGGGCTTACTTGCCGGTTGAGGAGGTTGCTCGGACACTCATTGAGGAACTCGGGTATAAGGGGTGGGTGTCGATGGAACTATTCTCACGAACAATGGCGGAAGAGCATAAGGAGGTGCCTGAGGAGCATGCGCGAAGAGGTATTGAAGCCTGGAAGAAGCTTGTCAAGCGATTCAACTTGGATTGAAGCTACGTTTGATTAGCAGTATATTCCACAAGCGTGTCACTATTGACTGGTATTCATATTTCAGCCAGAATCTCAGTTGTTCAAGACATAAACGTCAACTTGCTTAGAAGTTGATCCCCGGACTATTGTCAGCCGCCTCCAATAGAACCTTCCACGCTGCGTCCTTGTCAAGTTTTTTCACTCTCTCCTCTCCGGCCCAAAGCTTCCACTGCTCCTCGATCTGGTACCCAATAACATGCGTCCCCTCTACCGAGGGCCACCCAAGGCTCTCCGCTAGTTTGATCATCCTCGTCCGCCGCGGCTTGAAGCACATATCCAACAAGACCCCCTTCTCTGGCCGTGAAAGGAAGTCCTCTAGAGATGCTCTTACCGCCAACTCAGACGCCGATGTAGGTTCAAAATCGGGGACCGTTCCGACCACGTAGTACGGTGTCTCCAGCGTCTTCGACTCCCCTTCTTTGACATGAACAATCTTGGGAGCGGGAGACAGACGTTGAGCATCGCGCTGAAGATCGGACACTTCTCCATCATCTCTGTTCAGAACATAGATCACAGAGGCCTTGAAGTATGTATGCAGAGCATACACCGCAGCACGACTCGCGCCGCCAGCGCCCACAATCAACGCAGGCTTTCCCTCTACCGGACCCCGCCCTTCGCCCTTTTCTAGAAGACACCCCTTTACACCCAGCCAATCCGTGTTCGTCCCCCTCAGCCTCGCCGGGTTCGACGGGTCGCGGTAGACGTTGTTGCAGGCGCCAATGGTGGTGGCGAGGGGGTCTAGGGCATCGAGCCGGGGCATGACTGTATTTTTATAGGGCATCGTGACGACGAGGCCTGCCGTTGAGTCTTTGCGTGCCAGGAGGACGAGGTCTTCGATCGTGTTGCATTCGGTGGCGTGGAAGGTCCAGGGGAGAGAGAGGGATTTCGCGATGGCGTTGTGCATTGGGGGCGCGATTGAGTGGCCGACGCCGATGCCTACTAGGTGGATGGTTTTGTCGTCTGTCGATGCCATTTCGACTGACTGAAGGAATTGAAGTGTGATTTGCTTATAATGAGATGTGATGCTCTGTGAAAAGGCCGAGAAGACGATGAATACAATTTACTTATAGAAACAAGGTGTCTACAATCGCTGCTAATTTTGTAGACGTCACACAAGGTAAGTCCTGTTCAAACATGAGCCCCGCGCTGAGAAGCTTCAACAGTGTCCATGTGTAAGCTGCCGCGGGCGGGTGAGACCTTAGCCGCTAAGTTGACAGCTAAGGTCCCAGCTGGAACTGCCCCAAAATCCCCCGTGTTGGGCAATGCGGAGTAAGAAAGAGTGGCTGGAGGTATTTCATTCATTTCAGAAGGTCTACCGGTGCCGGGCCATTGAAACAGGCAAATGAAGTTTTACATCTCATTCACGTTCGCCTAAAGTGTGATGCTACGTCGGTTCCCATTAGACAATGAAAAGCATGGCAGTCTCGGTCTCGAGAGTCCATGCTGATCACCAGTCTGTATTGTGGTTTCCGTCTTCAGCGCGGAACTGGATGGGGGGAAGCACTAACATCAACTCAATCTTGGCCCTACAAGACAATCCCGAGACCAGAAAGGCTGCATGAGACAAGTTGAATCATCTTATTGATGAATGCCAACACATGTGACCATTTTTAAACGAGATGGTCTGTTCATATTCATACTTAAGGGTCAAAAAATTCGGACCTTTGCTCGCCAAAAAGAGCAGTTAAGCTGGATGGCGTTAGTAGCAAGGGCTGAGAACTGAGCGCGGGTAAAGCCGGCGGGAATCGATCGCGGGCTGTTTTCGTCTGACATGTCAGCTTCTGAATATCTGCCATACTTAATTGCATGTCCAGACTCGAGGCAATATCAATATTGTATACCCAAGATTTCGCCAGAAACAGCTGTTCAACTCTGACATTTTACATCATCATTATAACGTCGCCTTCGAGTGCCTCAGATGGCCCTTGGTCTGCGACACATCGGCGGGCGTCACGCCCTCGCCCTAGCAGCAGCGATCCCATGCGCCTTAGTCGTAAAACACGGTTGGGAGGTCTACACAAGTATTCGAGCGGTTTACACGCGACGGGTAGTCTCTAGTAGTGGCCTTTCAGAAAACTTCAAACAATCGCATACTCTCAAGACTCTAGTAAATCCCAGAGGACATGCCTCATCAGCAGACAGGCTAGCTCTAGATTTAGACCTACCCAAGAACGCAAGAGACTTGAGCGACGAAGTATTATTGGCGACTTTCATCCATGGGTTTTTTGCGGGCAAGGTTTTGGCAATTGAGAGGCTTCTGCTGCAGACGGCACGGCCGACTTTGGTGTCCTACGCTGGTGAGTCACCAATCTCGTAACCACTCGTTAGGAGTGACCAGGTTCCTGACAGGATTATAGGACTCAATCCGATTTCGGCGTCAAACCAGATATGGAAAACTGAAGAATTTTCATGCGAGACACTCCCACCAGTGCATTCCGTAGTCTTTGGCACGTTTCAAGTCAGCCACGTCAAGTTCATCGATTCCAAAGAGTCACAAGCGGAGCCGGAAACAGAAAGTAGCGTTGACTTTGTATTCGGGAAAGACATCAGTCAATTTGCAGGTGCTCATCGGTTCAGCATTGTCAGAAGTTCTGAAAATCCAGCAAGAGTCAAAGTCGTCTATGAATCAACGGCTTGCAACCCGACTCGAAATCACCACCTGTCCGGCATCCTATTGCAGTTCCACAGCTTTTACGCAATGCTGCTGTTCCGTGAGGGGGTATCGGAAATCTTGCGAATGCCTGAGCTGAGTGCGTAATCACTGCCAGGGGGTGAATTGGAGGATGGCATTCTGGATTCTAAGTACCTAAGTCTGGGAATTGAGTAGCAGGCTGGAATGATTTGTAACAACATGGCTTCTTCATGTAAGAGCCGGGCGGACTGTAAAAGATACCGATAACCATCTCACCGCTGCAATTGATCATTAGAATGAACCTGCAAAGTTAGCGTAACTTCATGTATGAAAACACATCATCTTATTGCTCGAAAAGGGCCCATGAATAGGGCAATACGTTGGAGTTTGTCAAGTTAAATACACAATGCTATTTACACCCGGCTTGCCCGATGATCTATGATCGTCCTTGGGCCCGGATGCTACTTCGGGAGCGGGGAACGCGACGCCCTCCGTGGAGGTGGATCGATCGGATATTATGAGCCAATCATTGTGGACTAAAGTCTCCGATAGCACAGATTACTCGGAAACCCTCCGTGGCGTTGTTTAATCTGTTGACTTCCTGTTCCTTTCATATCAGTCGTCATTGCTCAACTTTCCTCAGCTCATTCTCCGTATTTCTCTTGACCGGAAACATACCTATCCGAGTTTATAGCGCATCTTTATTGGTGAACAATGACTCCAAATTTGCCCGTTGGAGGATCGAGTCTTCGAGCATCATGCGAGGCTTGCCGTGCGTAGTGGATCTTTGTCCTTGGGAAATGGCATTGAATGTACTAACGTCAGGTGTATCCCCAGGAGTTAAAAAGATCAAATGCACAGGAGAACGTCCGATCTGCTCCAAATGCAGGACCTCCGACCGGGAATGCTATTACTCTCCCCACAAACCCATGGGTAGGCCGACATCACGTCGTGTCCGTCCTCAATCGTCCCAACCAGTCCGTCGGGAACGGATACTTCCTCGGCGGAATGCTTCGACCAGGTTGCTCTCTCCCGTTCATACAGATGCTGCATCGGACTCTGGGAGTAGCAATACACGAGAAATTGACGCTCTTCTCGGGCCAACAAGCCCGCGAATCAGCTCCCCTCTCAACCCGGAGACTTTTGTAATCCACCCAGATGTCATTGACTTGGAAAATGATCAAGGGTATGATTTTAGCATCGTATCAACCACAACTTACTACAACTACACGTTCGCTGACGATTTGTTTGATGAGTCCAGGCCCAGTCAAGATCTCGTATCTGAAGGTCTTGCAGCTTTCCCTCCCCTTGCCTCAGACAATCAGCAAACGACGGATAATTGCGCCTGTCTTTCAGTACTGTACCTGTTGCTGGAGCACCTTCGGGTAAAAGAACATCTTGTCGCACCAGAGGACTTCGCCCTACTCCGAAATACCTTCGAGCCGGCTTTACAAGTTCTAAATTGTCAAAGATGCCCGCGCCGGTACTTCTCCATCATCCAGAACGCCGCCCTACTTGGCGTTCTATGTCTTTGTCTTACAGAGTCGTACAAGAGAATGCTTGCATCGATCTCGACAGAAGAGACTAGAGCGACGGAGGCCGGAGAGAAGAAGCGCCTTGGAATCCACGGCGCATTGCCGGGCTCATCGGCCTATGGAGAATCGTCGTCTACAAGTGCGCCAAGCCTGTTCTCGGTAGAGATATCACCATCAGAATGGGGCAAAATAATGCGAAACATCGTGAGGTCAGAAATCTTTGGAGCCGAGGGGCAGAAAGATAATAAGTATCTTACGGGGTTCTTTGACCTTATGGAGCAGCGTCAACGGCGATGGCATCACACGCCGCCTGCACCTGACTGCCCACCTTGCTATCAGTCGTTCTGTGGATCAGATGATCGACAGCCTAGCTGTCTCGCTCTTTTGAACAACGCTAGACGATTGATAGAACATTTGGAGTTATAGACACTTCGGCATCTGGAGCAATGTCGGCTTCGGCGCACGCTAATGGGAATCACACACATCGATGCGATCCGCATATGTTGTAGGTTTCATTTGAATCCTTCTAGCCGGGTAATGTACAGACAAAGTTCCTGGATGTGAAATCTATAAACCTCCCAATAACCGAATAATACACAACCAAGAAAAGTAAATGCTACCAGTGCACCGTGGATACTATAGACAAAGAAATAAAATAGACTCAGATCTACTGACCGCTGTCAATGACCTCAGGGATGTTCCTCTGGGTCCAGGCAGACCAATCCTTGCAGACATCAGCGACGGCGGAAGGAATGCGGAGCTGCTTGACCTTCTCGGGCTGAACCAGCAACTGAGAGAAGAGACCGGCGGATGCGTGCCAGGCAATGTGGCAGTGGAAGGGCCAGACACCAGGGTTCTCGTTGGAGTCGAATTGCATGACCATGTGGCCGCCGGCACGAACCTGCTGAACGTCACGACGCTGAGGGTTTTCGGGGTTGGTGATAGTTCCGTCCCAGGTCAGGCCATCGCCCTCGTGGAGGATGTACATGTTGAAACCGTGGAGATGCATGGGATGACTGCGCAAGTTAGTCGGTTGTACAAAAAAGAAGAAGTGAGAGGTGTGGTCTTACGCTGCAGGGCTGTTGTTGCTGACGACAATGCGAACGCTGCCGTTATTGGCAAAGTTCTGGACGTTCCAGTCATTTTCAAAGGTCAAATCACCTTTGTTGACCTGAAGAAGCGTGGGGTCGTTGAAGTTGCCGCGGAAGTCAACGCCGCCAAGCGACCATTGAACAATACCAGAGTCATTGCGAAAGACCTTGATTTCCATGGTCCTGGTGACGGGGACGTTGGCCGGCTTGAGCTTCATGACGGGCTTGGTGAGAGCGAGGTCATCGTTGACGCAGGTGCCGGGGTCAGGAACGTTCCAGGCACTGCTGGTGGGCGCCTTGGACTGGTCGGCCAGATCGTAGTAGACGGCAGCAAGGGCGAGGGGCTGGGTGCTAAGACTGCAGCTGGTGATGTTGCTACGCATCCAGTAGGCACCCCTGGGGTTGCTGTTGTCGGCGTTGGCCTTGACGAGGACGTCGGTTCTCTGGCCAATACCGAGGGTGACAACCTTTGTGTCATAGGGCTCGACCTCAACAAAGTCGTTGGCGATGACGGTGAGGGTGTGTCCGTCGATGGAGAAGCGCTGGGTTCCCTCGGCACCGGAGTTGATGAGACGGAGGCGGTGGGTCTTGCCGGTCTGGAACTTGAACTTGGAGATACCGGCATTGTTGGTGCACTTGGTGTTATCTCCAGTCGCAACGGTGGAGCAGTTGAAGTTACCCTTGCCGTTGATCAGGTTGTTGTCCGAGAAGACCAAGCCACTGCCATTAACCTGCAAGATTTCCTCAATGAGATCGAAGTATTGCTTGTGGTACCAATCTGGGAGACGTTAGCGCCTTGATTCTCCTGAAGTGGTGATCATTGCAGGCGTTGCTTTCGGCTGTCCGGATAGCTCCACCTCGAAACCGGGGTTGAGATTGGACTCAGGAACCAGCCCCGGGTACCCACACCTCCGTCACCGGCCCCGGTTAAAGAGCGCATGGCTGGCCGACTCCGGAATAGCCATGAGCAGCCATCCATCGCAGAAGATACTGTAGCTATTGCAAGAAGGATTGCACAATATCAACTTACCAGAGAGCATAATAGGGCCAAGATCAATCTCAGGCTGAGATTTAGCAGGGCCATAGATGACCATGGGTCCGAACAAGCCACCAGCGTATTGAGAGGAGTAGTGAGAGTGATACCAAGTAGTTCCGTACAGAGTCGCCTGGAACCTGTAAGTGTAGGTCTTGGCGGGAGCAATCGGGCACTGGGAGATAGCCGGGACACCATCTTCCCACTGGGTGTTCTGCTGTCTGAATCCGTGCCAGTGGAGCGCGGTTCCCTCAGGGCCATCGGTGATGTTGTTCGTGACCGTCACCTCGATCCAGTCACCCCAGTTGGCCTCAATAGTAGGGCCGGGAAAGGCACCGTTTACGAGCAGGACCTTGCGCTCGTAGCCATCAGGGGCGATCACACCGCGGCTGACGGTGAAGTCGTACTTGCGGGTGACGCCGGTATTGGGCCACTCCTTGTAGTAGTTGGTGCCATCGGCGGAAAGCTTGCCCCAGGGAAAGCCGTTGGGGAGCGGGTTGTTTCTCATAAAGAGTGGCAGCTTGGCAGCATTCAAAGTGCCAAGAGGGGATTTTCTGCACAAGGGTTCATGTTAGTTGAGTTGATGTCCCGTGGTGAATGCAGCCAAGCTGTGCTAGGAGAGTTGTCTTACCCGTTGGTCTTGTCTTGGCTCAGAGACGCTTGGATTGAGAACAACCAGCCAAGGACGCCTCCCATGCCTTTGATGGCGACCATCTTGGCAGCTAACCTTTTCGGTAAAGTAAGAAACGAATGTGTGTGAAAAGACTGTTGTCAGATGTCTAAGTGAGTGACTGCTGATGATTCCCAAAGCCAAGAAAGAGGGTGAGCATGTTTGAGCTATATACTCCTTGAAGGAGGCTCGAGTCTAGTTAGCCAACATCTAAAAACGAGACGGACTTTCTTCAACGGCTGGGGTACCGCATCCCAGTACCGTACAACACCCCAGTTAATCGTCGTTGATCTCGCCCGTAGGGAGAGTCGGACTCGGGAAGCCTATCCGCGTTGCTATGCTGAGGCTGATGGGCTTAACCCGATCTGCATCAGCACTGGTGCTCCTTGACGGCACATGTCCGCGCTAGCATCTCACCCATGGTCTAAGAATGGATGCAAGGTACTAGCTAGGTCCCTGTTGTTCTAGTGTCAACGTGTGACCCAGTGCCGGCAAAGTTGAGGCCGAGACTCTGGTAACTTCTGCGATGCCGATGAGCTTAATTGATACGAACTTTTGACCTCGTTTCCAATTATGGGTTGCAGTTTCTGAAGGTTCCGGCAACTTGTTCGTCGGATGATCCTATGGGCGTCATGCCCATCAACTATGTTGAGAGGGACTCTAAGTCCAGCTTTCGCCTCTCTCGTGACTCGAGGGTTTGGGTCAGGCAGCAGCATCATCGGACCATATTCGCTGACCTGACAAGAGTCAGATACTATCAGAAGTCCCGCTCGACAGCTTCAGGTGAGCCACCATTTGGTCGTAGAGCGGGTGTGGCGTGAGCGTTGTTGTGCGGCTGGCTTGGATAGAGTTTGTGTGGTCAGCTACGTACTCGCGAGTACCGCACGTATGTTGTTTGCACACGAGCCATTCACATTCATACGGCAACAGATCCTTCGTCTGACTCAAAGCAAAGGCAAACTCGAGGCTCTCGGTCTGCAGCTCAAAAACCTCGGTGCGAGGTGCGGTATGCTCCCGGGCTGCACAATCACCACTCGTTGCACATGCGGCTATCAATGGTGCAGCAGATTGAGTTTCTCGTACAAACGAAACGCTGGCTGTCGTTCAAGCCGAGGACGGGAACGACGAACAACACCCTGAAACTTCTAAACGGAGATCCGGAGGGTCGAGCTAAATCAGAGTGGATATGAAAAGATAGTCCATCTCAAAACATCAGAAAACTGTCATTGACTGGTGGGGAACGCTAAGAGCAAAATCGTGTTTTCTTTCGTGCCGGCCGGGCTTCTTCCTCTTCTGGCGTCGAAGCTCAGGGGCAGCTTTGAAAAGGCAGCGGCTCAAGTGTCTTTGCGTCCGAGTTTTGACCTCGAGCTAATCCAATACGGTGGGGGAAACGCGTTCAACATCGGATTGCGTAATTGTAATCTTTGGAAACAAACTACCGAAAGCCTTCACATTAAAAACTTCCCTTCGACTCCATTCTTTATTGCCCATAAGAGATTCGTTCAGCTGCTGACACGTCAGATCACCACGAATAGTAAAGAGCATATTCAGAGGTCAACGTGATTCATGAAGATGACCCAAGACATGCGTTATTGGCCATCCACATCCCGTCTTTTAGGTCGCGGGGTCTCTGCGCTAGCCAAGCTAACGAGGATAATCCCCCCTGCGCTAAGCTGCACCGCCTCGGGAATCCTGTCATCGAAGCGTATCGCTCACGCACCTTTCAGGATCCCTTAGGTGCCGGCAACCCGGTACTGCATCGAATGATCTCAAATAAGAATTGCGATGCGGCTAGGTGGTTGTCACAGGGACGATGCGGAAATGCAGTTGTGCGTCGAAGCATCTGCAAGCCTATGCGACAGTCCGTTCCAGAGGCTCGGATGACGCCGAGTCGTGGTATGGATACGTGCGAGAGGAAGAACGGATGGCAAGCATCGCTGAGTTTGGCTGTAGCCCTTTGTGGCGTGCACGCCCGGGAGGGACTCGATGCCGGCGCCCTGAAGATGATGACGACGACTTGAACTTCTGCAAAGGCTAATGGTCGTCGAACCTATCTCTCCATTGGCGATAGTTGATCTTGATTAGCGCCAGGCACAAACGCCGAAGCTACTTTGGTCAAGCACTAGCATCGCCGACTTCTGATTGAGGTATAGTCAAATGCGAATAATGTGTGGTTTGCGACTGACACCAGCGGTCTACGACTCAAGCAATATCTGACCATGAGTCTGTCATGGATTTCCAAGAGGCTGGGCAGCTAAAAATTCACGGACTCGTTGACGTTGACTCGCGAACAAAGTTTGGAAATGCAAAAGGTTATGGTTCATATTAGGAAACCCTCTCGCTGCTGAAAGAAAAAGAAACCGTCTTCACAATCCCGATGTCCAATTTCCACCTCCAGTACATAGACGTAAACAAAGCCTCGTCAGACAATGGAACTTTTGTCAGACAACGGGAATGATAAAGCCTGGGATAACAGCAAAATGCCTGGAACCAAACTCCAGCAAGTACAAAAACCATCACAAACAACCAAACGAAACTTCCTACTAAAGCATAACCATAACCCATCACTGATCTGTGACCTCGGTCTTTGGTCGACTTCGCGTAATCACTGACGGGCCACATAATAAACTTGCATCGATATGTGAACTCTGCGCACAAAACCACAGCTGCAAATAGTGTTCCCAACTTACAGAAACATCAAGGATGGAGGAAGACGGTTGTAATCATCTAGAAACCTTGTTATCATCAGCATATTGGCACAGTCTAGGTTTCTGAGGCTCTCTTACCTTTGCTCCCGTAATCGCAATGCATCTTGTGTTGATGTAAGATGCAAGCGTGATGCGTCTCCATCGTATAAAGTACTTCAGATAATCCAAGAGGATGGCAGAAACCAAGTCGCGGTTCAGCGGCAAGGGACAGGGCAGGCTGGGCAACTTTCGGAAAGAAGAGACTGACGGCCTTACGAAGGAGACCAGCAACCCACTTGCCCGGCTTCTTTTGCGGCTTCGACACGCCATCATCCTGCTCCGACCTGATCTTCACATACTTGCCGGTGGTGTAGTTGCCAAATCGCAAGTTGCGAGCCGACTTTGTGGCAGTCTTGAAATCGGCATTCTCGGCCTCGGGAAGATCTTCATAGATCTGTTGAATCACACTGTCGTCGATGTAATTCTCGTAGTTGACGATGTTGGGGTGTCTCTTCGACGAGACCGCAGCTTCGTCGATGCCACCGCACTGGATGCCCCACTCATTGCAATCGTCATCCTCTTCATGGTACTTAGCAAAGCGGCTTTCGTGCTCGAGGAGTTCGCCGAGCTGCTTCACCCCAGCCTGCTCAAAAGACGGGAATCTGACAAAAACGTTTTCGTCTAGATCACATTGTTTACTAAGGGAGCTTGAGCTGATTGTCGATACATGAGAGACTGAGACTTGTCGGATTCGTTGCCTCTCTGGCTTGGTAAGAAGATGCTCGATAGGAGGGAACGCCTGACCCTGGTACAGATCGGAAAGGCCAGAAACCTTCTGCTTACTCTTGACTGTGCGACGGGAACCTGCATTAAGCAGCGGGAAAGGCTCCAAGCCAGAGATGCTTGGATAAGCGGGAAATCTTTCTTTGTTCGAGCTCTTGACGCTGGAGGGTGAGGTCGTGATTGTGTTTGACCCCAATGATGAAGAACATAGACCCTCCTGGCTCTCGAAGCGCGTCCACTAGACAGCCTCGTGAACCTTGACAGGGCTGATGGACTCAATGGAGGAGCGAGGGCTCATTGTGGATGGGACTCTGCATCTCAGAATACGAATAGCGAGCTGCTTCTCGGGCTCAAAGTCGATCGCATCGTTCAGGACGCAAAGCTGGCTTTCGTCTTGGGCTGTGGCAGTCGCAGAGTGATTCGAGATGGATTCGGAGCTGCCTTCGCAAGTGGCAGCGTGGCATCGAGTAGTCGTGAGGCTGTTGGAAGCCACATTTTCTCCTCGGAAGCTATTGGAAGATGGCCTACGACCCATCTTGTTGAGGGCGACAGCGGCGCTCATAAGACTTCGGCTTGGCTTGCCCTTGGACAAGGCATGGTGTGAACCTTCTTCCAAGAAGGCAAACATGCGGCGGAAGAAGCCCATACTGGATTCTGCGGTCATCAGCTCTTGTTCAGGTCCAGCGAATTGCAGTGAGCAGCGAATCAAATTACTTGGGATAGGTAGATAGCTCTACGTCACGCAACGGATTTCGGCGTGCTTTCACGACGACGCAATCTACGGCAGACGATGCTCGCAGACTTGAGAGTTGGAGTAAAGATCGATGGACCGGATTCACAGAAGACTCTATCGGAGTTCTTTCAGTGTTGAGAGTTGAGGAAAGACCGCGCCAATAGGCTACGGTTAGCTTTTGAGGAATGAAGTACCTTAGGTTTGTACTGATCACCACGGTATCTGGAGAAAAGTTGCGAGAAAAGTCGCGGTGACACAGTGGGTGGCGAGAAGGAAGATCTCTGCAGGATTGCGGAATGTCAGAGCCTGTCTATCAGGATGAGATAAGGCGCCGCGTGAAGCAATAACTTTTAGGCCGTTGTTGTGTGAGCACGACTCTCGAGGTGGCCACCGGACCAGAGGATATCAACGTGAAGTGTAGAGATGCCAACGCGCCAGGTTCTGAAGCAGTAATTGGTGCCTAGTGGATCCTTCAGTTGTATAACGGGAGACCCACAATTGTTTACGTTGTTCGAGGTGAAGTTGAAATGGCCAGCCGCTTTTTCCTAATGAGGAAAATCACGAGAACGCTCGAGGTGCGTTTCGGGCAACTTCTTCGCCCAGATAGCCCTGACAACTCCACTTTTTACTTGCCAACTCCGTCTTAGGGTTGGGTTAGCAGTCTGATAGACTTCACCTTTCACCGTTTCGATTGACTGCAGCTTCGCCGCCATTGTACGTTGGCCATTGTACATTGGCCATTGCACGTGATAACAGAGACAGTTTGGCTGGTACGGTTGTTGCCATAGCATCTGGACGTGTTAACGCGCCCTCTATCAGCGTGATTTTCGAGCCCTTCTTTATCCACATCGCTATTGGCAGAAGTGAGGTCTCGCATCGATTGAGACTCTAGCTTCGCGTGATTTCTACTTTTATTCTCATCCTAATCTCAGTTCCCGCAGCGAGGTGTCCTTACTTGATATCAACGAGCGGTATTGTGCCGATTCAGGATTATCAATCAAACTTTCTCCTCTCTTTTTTATCGTATTAGCAAATCGAAGTTACCAGGCTGCCACATCTTCAGAATCATCAAGCGACGAGGTCCATCCTCTGCAAGCCTTCGTCTTGTGCAGCCAAAAGCTTACATGGATGCGGAATTTCTCCCAAGACACGTCAACTAATACCATGATGGACAAAGCCGGTAAGACATGCTCGATTATCTCAAAGAAGACACTCCGTCACAAGTATGATAAAAGAACTGGCAGACTCTTTCACATAGACTCCACGAACAAAGGCTCCATTGTCTCAGCTCTGGCTGAACATGGTCATTGGCCGTTTGCGAATAGGGTTGCACCAGCTCGTCCAACTTGTAGTACATGATCACTTCCGCACAGTAGTATCATCCATAAAGCCACATCAATCCGAACCACTACAGGCCAACTTGGACTCAGCTTTGCCCGAACAAGCGCCTTCGCAGCTTATCTCGATCATAAGACCCCCTTCTGTGGATTCGGCAGAAAGATCTTTCAAGCTTATCAAGTCTCACCTGGCCAAGGCACACGTTCTCTAGGGGGTGAATACGTCCAGGAAGCCAGTCCCCCCAAGAGTACGGTCGGTGCCTACTCCTTGATCGTCTCCCATCGAAGGATGATTTCTGGGTGTACAAACACTGAAAGAACCGACTCAGAATACGCCGGGAGTGACCGAGACTGGTTCAGTGACGATGATTCTGTGATTTCTTCCACGGAGAGTGGAGAAGGACAAGAGATTGACTAGGTTTCATACTTCGACTTCTTTCCGATCATGTGCGAAGAGATCTTGTTTGGTCACCTGGTAGCTGAAGACAATTCCGGCTGCACTTTGGTCAATGTCACTCCACACTACCCTGAGTCGCTGTCAATGAGGTATTTCCTTGACAAATTCGTGGAGGCATCAGATGAATTCTTCGAAGTGGATTTCAGCCTCTCCACCTCTGGTGTGCAAACAGCCTTTATAGACTCATGGCCAGTAGATATCTCTGATGAGAATGGAGCCGGAGAAGCGACCTTGTGCACCTTGGGTGCCTCGAGTAGGCTCGAAGAACGTCGCAACATGATGAACAAATATCAAGAGTCAGATATTGTCGAGTATGAGGACGGTCTTGACTGCGAGGCTTTCGATAATACCGACTTTCTGTGGGAAGAGACAGCCCGTATTGGTCCCATATTGGTGTCAAGGGTCTTTTGGAGTACTTGGAGGAGGATATTATCCAGCAAATGCACTACGACATGCAGAACCAAGACGACTTTATCGCTTCTCAGCCGATACTACTTGAAGGCAATTCGGAACATCATACAACAACGAAGCTGAACATCCAGGCATGCAATGGTGAAGTTATTGGCGATCGACATGGAGATAACAACAAGGATGACCACCAAGCCCCCCACGAATTCAATCACAAGGCAAAATCTTCTTGATTGATGCAACCTACCTTATATGAAAAGAGCCTCAAGGTCATGTTACATCATGTGTACTGCAGTGGACTAGGGTCATTACGCCTTATGTTCCCTTGTCAAAGCCGTCGAGTAAGTTACCAGCTTACAGGTCTCTCACAAGAGGGTTCAAATACTGACTAGGTTACTCAGTTGTGACTTTTTCTTCATCTCTTAGTGAGGTCCATATCACATCGAACTTTGATGTGGGATTCAGGCCTCGCAACTGCATGTGTTGTGTGACAATACGACAGCCAAGACAGTCCTAAGGCTCTCAGTCATCACCTGTAACCCAGCGATAGTGTGGCGGCTGCGAGTCGGAATCTTGCGGCGCATTTTCATTCGTCCTTGAGATCGACCATTTTCATTGTTTCGTTGATGTTTGTGGACTTTTGCCTCAGAATGCGAGCCTTGGTGCAGTTTAGATATTGCAAGAGTAATTTTGTGCATTTAATAAATCACGGCTTTGTACACAGCTGAAAAAGTCCCTTTCTTTGATCGCCCCTTTGCTAGCTCTAAGCCCTGCACTCTGAGAAGCCACATTCGCATTTCACGGTTGAGAGGAAGCGAGTCTGCAAAACAACTTCTAGCAAGAGAAAATATTAACGAACATTGTGAAACATTGCAAATCATTCCTTCCTTCCTTCATTTCCGAATCTTGCTCTTCAAAACTTTCTTTCCGTCTGCATAGCTATCCGCCACTGTCAATGATAAACTGGCTTTTACAACAGCAGGTCCGTTTCTCCTCTGCCCAAACAGGATATAGCTTGCGAAAACTCTGTCAGAGTCACCAGTTTGGAAACTCTTGAATAACTTCGCTGCGATAGCGGCATCTGTAGTCGTGCGGCTGGTCCCTCTTTGGGTATATCGATCGAAATGCATGACCAAGACTTGCCAGACTTGCCAAACTGTCCAGATGTACTGTACAAAAACGGGCATCCAGGTGACTTGACAAAGGAGCCCCACTGGGAAATAAGTCCCAAAGGCAATGACGACAGCTAGCTGGATAACCTCGCGGAATCGATTTCTCACAGGATGTCCGTAATGGCGAAAGAATTGGTTGACGATAGAGGGCGGGCCGGTGATTAACATGAATTTTCCTTCGATTGCCGGGCAATTGATCTCCCAGTCCCGTGTCTGTTCATCGTCGATTGCGTCCGGGAAGGGCGTTAGACCCTCACGTTCAAGAGCGAATAAGGTGCCGATAATTCGAAGGATGAGCGGCATAATGAAGATGATGCTCCACAGCGAGCGAGTGATTGTGGCTACGCAAATCATGATGCCGATGCCAACACACTCGGTTAGAATAATCTCCACCAAGCAGAGCAAGTCAACACGCTTGATCTCTTCCGAAATGAAAGGGACCTTGGAGTTACCAAGGTCTTCATCTGTAGCTTTTGAGAGCACTAAGTGGCTAACGGCAACTCTTGCGCGCACTGGTTTCGCTTTTTCTTCAGTGACGTTGCCGCTCTCGGTGTCATTTGGTTGTCGGATTGAGGGCTCTTTGATGGTTGGGAGAGGCATGTTGAGTAGGGCCTGGACCCAAAGGCAGTTTCGGATTTGCGATTCCCTCTCAGATTCTCCTCCGCGGGCGTGCAAAATATAGGTCCATTCAAGGTCGCGGTAAAAGTGTGTTCCAAGCATATGACCCTGTACAGCACCGCTAAAGAGTCCATTCTTATATGCAGTGTCGATAACCTCGAGAGCAATTGACCCAATAGGGCCTGCCATAGAGTACAAACATGCCAGTCGCGGCATGTCGTAGATGGAAAACGATGAGAAATTCCGCTGAGGCCAAAGAAACCTCTCGAAGATCGCGCTGGTGGCAGCTTGTCCCCCAACGTAACCTAGCAGTGAACTGAAAGCGCCAAAGACCGGAGCATCGGCTTGGTCCGACATCGTCAACGAGTTTGTTGGTGTGGCAGCAAGTGCGTAAGAGCTGATGCCAGGATGAAAGAGCCGCTCAATTAATTATTACTTCAAATGTGTGGGTGATTGACAATCAGTTATATTGTAGGGAGGCCCACATCTAACGAACTCTTGACCGTTGCTCCCACATGAATGCTGACTGCAGATGAGAAGGATTTTCTTCCCTGGATCGTGAAAACAGCAGGCAGCAACTTAAGGCTACATGGGTTCTTCATGCCAGGGCATGCTGGTACCCTACCAGAAACCTGCATGAATGCATTGAGGGCCGGTTGTACGCTCTGGGAGGCTCGGCAGCTGATGGGCTCACACTGCATTACCAGGAGGAGGCGCTCTTATTCGGGACCAACGAGCAGCGAGGAAAGGTTCAGCTTGCCCTGGGTCCCTTCCACGCTATCGACGCATACCAAGTTGCTGCGTGGGCCCGATAACTGGGCGTAAGCTCACAGTTTGACCCCGGATGCGACAAATTTGTACTAGCGAGATGGCACGAAAGACAGGGGTGGGAACAAGAAAGATCCAACAGTCCGAGGCGAACTCAACAATGCATGAGATGAACATGCCTCGAGTCTATTTCTTAAATCCTCCCAGACTGAACTTTGTAGATTTGAGAATCGATATTCTGGCGTTTGGGAATATACATACGACTTTGTACCTAGATCTATTTGGCGTAGGTATCCAATAACAAGGTAATTAGCTCCACTTCCTCAATATCCAGCCCGACTATCACTGACTGTGAGCCTGCGGACATGATCCAGTAATAGTCAGATACTTTCTAGCCTGAGAAGAGACGATGAAAGTATGAAGATTTGTCTGGAACGAATCTATCTTAGGACTTTACGGCTTGAACCAAGATTCTATGCCTGCTCAGGGTGTTGAAGCATAAAGAAATGGACCATGGGCAAGGGAGCAACCGCCAAAGCCGAGTTGTCATACAAGCCGCTGCCTTCAGGTCGTGTGGTTCGCAAGGTCGCCGAAAAGGGAATTCATTAATAGTATTGTCAACATCGGTCTGTGTGCTTCCCATCTTAAAGTACAACGAGCAATACCATCTCTCCAAAACCCCAAAGTAATGTCAAACCAGTGTCCTTGACCTTGCGGTCCTTGTCAGAGGATACCTGGGCCCTTTCAACAATCTGACGTAGATACCGGGCTTTGTGGTTGAAACTTCCGTCTGTGAAGCTGACAGTAGGTGTAAGCTCCAGGTGTTACCGAGTGCTGAATTCACAACGGGAGAGATCCACCAAAATCCTGGGGCCAAACGAAAGGTCCGTCGAGTGACGATTTCCCCTTTCGGAAAGGTGAAGTCTAAGATGAGTCCTCTTTGGGTAATTTAGATGGCCAGGTGAAGCTTCGTAGTGGGTCCTCGGGACTGGTCCAGTGACTGATGCTTCGAGATACCTCGCCGCATCAACATGGGACGACCTACCGCCCTTCGGACGGCCCTTCGACTACCTAAACTTCCTTTCACTCCTCGCCGTATTGACCTCCCTTTTTCTTCCTCATCACCGCAAGACTTTCCGCGAATTTCTGCGACTTTGCGCAACATTCCGCAGATCCTTTGCCCTTCGCACACTTTTCCCGCCGTGGCAAGGAAATCAACCTAGCTTGACCACATTTGTGATTAAACAACTCTTCTTCCATTCTGGATTGATGGCTCTTGCATGCACCTGGCTACTTACTTGCCGCATCCCATTCTAGTGCGCCGGTCCCTTTTCTCTCCAGAGCCGAGCGGGAAGATATCATCAACTCACCAATGATCGTGAAGCCCATACTCGTCAGATATAGTCAGGTAAGCATCTTCTCGCAACTTGGCATCTTCCACCAGCTTTATTGGCTGCGTTTCGTCAGATCCCAAGCAAATGAGGATCACTACTTCTTCTCCTGACTGACCTTGATGGCTTTCAGTGATACAAGTCATTGAAGATGCCATTTAGTTGTGTTGTTCAGCAAGTCCTTGCGTTGTTGTTCAGGAACCCTCACCCAACGCCAAAAATGTGCGAAGACTCAAGCTCCTATCAGTGGGACTGCGGCCAGCTTTTGGTCGATAGCAGTCATCTCTTGTCCAACGCGTCTCGATCCATTACTTCTACGCGTCAAGTAATTACAATAGGGCCTTTGCGTCGACCTTCGATCTATGCCAGCTTCACGATGGCAAATTTCTCGCAAATGGCCAAGGCAATTGATGTCAACAGCGACGTAGACACTCGCTCTATTGCAGAGTGCAACGGAAACGTGCCCAGAACTTGGCATCTCGCGAACGCTAGCAATGTGTTCCCGGAATACACCTCTTTCAATCAGTTCCTAGACGCTGAAGGCAATTAGAGATTGTCTGAGCTCTCTGAGACTGGTCTCTCGGATACCTCAAGCGTTGAGGAATCGCGACGGAGATCCCCAAGCCCAGGTTTGCTTTCCTTTTCTTCTACTGCGACAAGGATTGATACTTATGGAATTCAAGCAGAATGGGCCTCTAAAAGTCTCTTGAGTCCTCTTGAAAAACTTCCCTCTCGACCCTCTCGTCCCCTTTTCGGCCATAGAAGTCGCAACAGGACCGCAGATGGCTTGCTCAAGCCTACAAGACTCTTCCAGCTTTCTATTGGTTCTCAATCAGAATACGAGCTTGACTTCCCACAGCAGACCTCGGAAACTTCCTACGGAGATTACGACAACATCTCGGTCATCACACTTGTCAGGGATGTCGATAACATCCACCACCCCATTCCATCTCATGTTCCCAGAGAGCTTTATTGCAGCCATTCCGGGTCCTTCAGTGTCTCATCGGTCTGTGCTGAAGCGCAGGAAGAGCATCAGAGGCCTGAGCTCATCACAGAGGTGATTGGAGATATTGACGAGTTTCTGTCTAGCCTCAAACTTGGACACAGTCGGGAGGGACTTGCTTGGGACTACCGTGAAAGGGACTTTTTCATTGCATCTCAAGAGCCTCTGCCACTGCAAATCCCGGCGAAGAGCAAGCCAATCATTCACGGAAGCCAACCTATACACCCCAACGTTGAGGCAAAGCCATTGTTCACCATAAATGAGGAAGTCAACAACCGCGGAAATGGACCTTCCAATCAACCGACTTTGCCTATGGCCCTTCCCTTAACAAAGCACAACGGCTTTGTTGACCCATCTATGGTCCCCGCGCCTCTGAGCATCATCAAGCGATCCAAGGCTGATGCTAGCCGCAAATTCAAGCGTCCATCTCCACTGCGTGCTCGAGGTAACAAAAAGCCGACTGAGCCCAGAGACATCGAGTATACCAGAAGACAACAAACCAGATTGCGACCGGACTCGCCTCCATCTCTCGGTCCTCTCTTCGACGAGAGCGCATTTGGCACTCCTGTGGTTCCCTTCCTACCCATTGTCGAGCCTCGTCAGCTCTTCTTTCCTTCGCCGAATTCGATCGCTTACCTCGAGCACGAGCTTTCTGACGTGATCGATCTCGACACTGATGATGTCCCTACGGTCATTGAGAATCCCACTAGCGCTGCTGGCGTTTCTCAGTGGGACGAAGAAGATTCCATTGACTTCTTGCTCGGCCCCATCGCAAATGCGCCGCCTCCCGTACCACCACACAGGGTGCTTGTCCAGCCACAAGACCCCTTGTTAAACCGAGGCGTTGTGCTTGGCTGGCTGGAAGATTCGGAGACTGTCAGCGGTGGCCAGGATGCTACCAGCCATAACGAGTTTGGTGCTCCTCGTCCCTGTCGTGTTCGAGACGTTAATGCCAGTAGCAATGACGAAGCCGATACCCCTTGTCCGCTTCGTGCTCAAGACGTCAACGCTCGCGTCAATGCCGGCATCGATGCTCTGATCTACCCGATTGTGCAGGCCGAGAACGACTTCGCGTATTATGAGGATGACTTCCTTCACGAAGTCATGACTGCTGTGAGTGAGACCCAAGCAACTGACCTAGATGAGCAGCTTCGGCTCCTAGGTCCAGTCTATCCAAGCAGAATCCTCCTGTGGCCTTTGCACCATCCCGCCACGGACACTGAACCCGAGAATGCCTCTCAAGAGGGCGTCGAGCGTAGTCAATCAACTCCCGTATCGACCGTCACTGAAGAGCTTCCCGAGAGCCCCAAGTGTTTTTTGTGAAATTCAGCTGGCTACCCATAGCTGTCCGAGCTTGCGAATGCGGTATCGAGAGGCTGACCAAGATGAGGAAGAGCATTATAAAGTGAACAACAACCATGTCAGTATTGTAAGATTCGAGTCTCTGAATTTCCGGATGCTTTCTTGACGTTACGAGACCTGAGAATGACTGAAAGCCAAGTATACTGGCCAGACTGACTGAGTAAATGTCCCGAGAAAAGCGATGATGAATATTGTGGACGGCCCGGAGAATCGATAATGGAGCTTAGACAGGGAGACAGAGAGTAAGATGTTTGCTGCAGTAAATGGGCAAGTGAGACTCGGATGGACTTGAGTAATTGGCTGGTCGGATTCCCTGACCGCATTCTGCAAAATTGCTGTGAGCTGGTGCTAGGTTGAGGGCCTGGAGTTTGGTTTTGCAAGGCGGCGTTTCGGCTTACTGTTCTCCTTTCTGACTTTGTTGAGCTCTGGTGGATTTGGCATGACCCCGAATGACCTTAGTTACACAAGTGTAAGCCACCAACTCTATTGTGCTACTACACCGCTGGGTATTCTTTTAAGACTTGCTTTTCATTAACACCAAATAAATCCTGAATGTGCTGCTTTCCTCTTCAAGTGTTCGTCTTGAGTCGAAGCCGATGTGTTCGTGTAAACTCAATCATCTCTCGCTGTCTCGTCGTCCGGCGGGGATATGGGAACTCCGGCTCTCATTATCCTCACCCTTGTCAAGAGGCTCCAACTCCTGTTCACTGGACGCATCCCCTAATTCCACGTCCCTCGCGTTCCCATGATCTCGAGTCCCTCCCACAATGGTTCCTATTCTTGAAGTAGTAGAATTCACCCACCCAAGAAGTGAGTCTTCTTTAATGACTCTCCGTCTGTGGCCGCCAACTGTTGTTCGGCTCCTTCTTGCACTTTCCATAGGATTTGACGGGCGAGCCGGCGGTCGGTAATGCCACTGCCAAAACCTCCGGGAGAATAAAGGACGTAGAATGGGTGCGTTGACAGCAATCAGACCAACTTCGCATTCTCGGACTCCCCATCGGTTTACCGTAATTGTTGAAGGTTCTGATCCCAAAGTTACCGCAACTCGCATGATCGCGGCCGCGATGACGAATAAACCGGAGCATATTAGTACTGCTATGAATATCTTCTTGTAGAAAGGTACCCTGATTTCCTTCAGAACCGGCAGCGGCAGACAAAGAATGGCTGCATCGGTCACAACATCTTGTCTCTGGTCAGCTTGGAACACTGAGTTATTCAACTAGACTCTCTATTAGACTTACTGAGAAATGTCGAGACCAGTAGATTTTGGGCTTTGAAAACACACTTCTCACTAGGTAGGGGCCTCACTCCCCAATTATCTGAAAACCTGTACGATGCCATTAGCCCAAATTTCCAGTGGAACTTGAGAGTCCATCACTCACGGCATGCAGCTAAAGCTTATCGTTCCAACCACAACCAGGTATGATAAAATCGTAAACCAGGCCAGGTGTTTCAGAACTCTCGCACTCTGCCACAAATCAAACGTCATTCGCTTACTTCAGAACTGTCAGTCTCTGTCTTTCGGAAGGACCAGGAGTGCGAAATACTAGAAGAATAACAGGGTCGCTTTCATAGACCACAAGTATGCGGTGTATGAATACCAAGCTACTTGTTGGAACTTGGAACCTTGAACAAGTCGTGCCACTTCTTGGTCGGAAAGAGTGCTGATTTGGGCAGCGGTGAGATCCACGTTCGTGCCATATCGGTCTAGGTTTACACATATCAGTACCGCCAAATCCTCTTCATCTCTTGAATGCTCATTATCAGAAGTGATACTCACACACTAAGTCGACCATCACAAAACAGACCGTGTATAAGAACAAAGTCTATCCAGATGAAATATTAGCGCAACGTCACGTCATTGACTAATGCATGCTCATTTCCGGCTTACAACAAGCATTGTGTAGTCGTCTCCCTTGAGACCTCTGGGGCCAACCATGCGAATTCTCACGAAAAACCGCAACAATATGACGAGAGCTCCAACACCGAACCAAGTCCACATCTCCTTCAGGAATTTGTCATCGCGTCTCAGGATACTGTCCAGTTGACCGATCGCCATGCTTAAGGGCGCGCGTCCGTCCGCCGACGCATACGTCGAACAGTGATCATCTATCGAGGCGAGGCTTTTGTTGGGCGGTCGCCCATGGGAGATGTGTCAATGTCGTCGGCAGGCTTTGGGTACATGAAGTTGGCGGGTTTTTCAAGCTGTCGTCTCATTTAGCCACATGCAGGCGCGTTTTCCTACAGTAGGTTTGGGGGAGACATGAAGTTTAGGATTCTTAGATGAGACTTCGAAATGCCGAAATTGAAGTGTCGAGCGCGTCGGGGTCGAGAAAACGCTTGTCCGTAATGTCAACTAGACCCAAAGAGGTGCTGTTGGGGAACGCTCTGGTCGCGCAGACGTTGATCTGGCGCTGACTGATGACTCGTGGCGTTTCGTAGTCGCAACTCTAAAAGGCAGTGTTGCTACGGTCACATCAGACTAAGACAGAATAGCGGCTCTCGGACCTTTTGGCCGGCCGAAGAGAGACTGAAGTTAGTGATTCCCAATTATGAGCCCCTCTTGACAATAATCCATTTCGTATGGTAGTGGATTGAGTATACCGGTGTGGGCAATAGAGTCATAATAAGAATGAGAGTGTCCTTTTTCTTGAGACCTTCAAGCATCACAAGGTCAGGTGACCTTGATTAAAAACAAGGTTTCGGGGAGAATATAGGCGTTATTGCGCCAAATGCTTAATGATACAACATGTTCTATAATGTAGATCTTATTTCAAAACATGGCTTCATGGACAATTCATGAATATAGAATATGGTTTCAAACGCGCAGGTATCGGTTGTGGTGAAGAACAAAATTTCTTTACTTCAAAGTGCAATGTCTCCAGTTCAGGTCCCTTAGCGAGGTAATGTTGCTCAGTGTCCACAATTAGTGACTGGATACTTCACTGTAATAACTCGGCTATGATTTAAGAACCTGAGAGACGCTGGTATTGTAGTTTTACTTGCTCGAATTCAGAGATGTATGTCATTGCCTCGAGGTGATTCCATCATTATCATTAAAGCTGAGTTGTCCTACTCAGATATCTTCAATCAGCGGACTGCTATAGAGATGACCTTCTGACAACCATCGAAACACGCAGGTATATTCCAACCTCAGACTTGAATCCTTCAAGCAGAGCGCTTCACAACGAAAGCGCCACGCTCGATCGTGTTGATCAGAATGTGGCCACTCTTGAAGTAAGGGTAGTGAGACCAGGTGCCGACGAAGTCAATGGATCCGCCAAGGGGTTCGTTGTCGTTCTCGGGGTAGATGTCGAAGAATCCAACCTCGGAAACGCCGCCTCCGGTGGGGTCATCAGGGAGAGAGGAGACGTCGAGAATGCGGAGACCGGCACCGTAGTGGCTCTGGAAGGCAAGGCCGTCGATGACGAACTGGTTGTGGTCAATGCCGTAAGCCTCGCTGCGGTAGTAGCCAGTCTGCTTAGGAGCCTCAAGAGATCTAATATCCCAGAAGTAGGTGATGGGGTAACCGCTAGCAGCAGGACCGGTAGCATCAACCTCATCGTACTCGTCGTCGAGGACGAGGTACTCCTGCCACTCGGTGTTGGTGACCCAACCCTGGTGGGTGTCTATATGTACAATCAGTCTTGGTTCATGATTTCAATGAGGGACAAAGCAAGTCGACGTACAGCTGGCACCCTCGTAAGAGGTGCGAGAAATGATGTTGGTCTCATTCTTGTTGGTGACATCGTAGATGGTCAAAGTGTCCTCGTTGTAACCATAGCAGATATCACGGCCAAAGTACTTCTCGTCAGGGCCACGGTAGACGAGGCACTGAGCATCGTGGACGTAACCGTCACCAGCGGCACAACCCGGGGAGGTAGGATTGGCGGGGTCGCTGAGGTCAATGAAGATCAGACCGGAGCGGCAGGCGCTGGAACGAGGCTGGGCGCCGACAGCAACGGCGTACTGCTTCTCCTCGTTGATGACGATGTTGTGGGTGGAACCGGCGGGAAGGCCGTTCCAGTAACCGGTAAGGTCACGGGAGTTGCTGAAGGTGACCGGGCTGGCGGGGTCAATGTCCAACAGCTATCCCCAACGGTTAGTATTTTAGAGACTTGAGGCACGATGATGTTGATGAGCTTACCTTGGTCAGATCGAAGATCTGGACACCATGGCGGGAGGCCTCACTGCCGATGACGACGTAGTTCTTGTATCCGCGGAGCTCACGCCAGATAGACTGGGTAGAGTACTGCGGGAGGCGACCGAGGTAAACGAGCTTGCCCGCAGATGTGATCTCAGCAAAGGCGGCACCATCAGCCTGAGCAATAATGGCAAACTCGCGACCGTCGGGGCTGGTCCAACCCCAAGAAGAGGATCCCTCGCCGGCGGTAGAGCCAAGGTCGGAGTGGCTCTTGAAGTCGTAGAAGTCGACCTTGTTGCACTTGAAAGTGTTGTTGGCATCGCCAGGGATGACCTCGGCAACACCATTTACGCAAGAAACGGGGCCCTCCTCCGCGAGGCGGCTCGTGTACTTGGTCGACTCCATCTCTCCGGCCTCTCTTTGGCGATCCCATGACGCCTATGAGTTGCGAAGGTTAGATCAAGTGCTGTAAGCAAAGCCACCGGTGTCAAATACCTTCTTACGGGCCATGAGGTCCTTGTGAATGACACCGCTGTCGTAAATCTCAGAGACGAGTTCACTGGGTGCGATCTCCTTGGCCGAAGCTCCAGAGAGGAGCGCCGACACGGCCAAGGTTGCCAAGGTAATTGCCTTCATCTTGAGTGGTTCAGGAGGGGTCCTGGGAGTTGTCTTAGGCAGGGGTGATTGACGGTTGAACCACGATGATCACTTCACAACCTAAAGAGCGGAGAGGTGCAGAGCAAGATCTTCTGCTGATCGAACGGGCGACGACGCGATTCTTTTATCTTCCTCCCATCACAACTTGGCGTTCTCCTTCCCCTCAATTCTTTTGTCGGGCTTCGCGGTATCTCTCCACCGCTTTACGAGTCAAAAACATGATTATTGTTCTTTGTCCTGCTAGAAACAGAAGGTCAAGAAACAGCGGTTGGAAGGTGGGAGCAACGAGCTTCAATGTCGCGATGCGGAGCACTACTGCCCAAAGAAGCAGGTGTCTACCGGACCAGGCCCGCACGGTACTTGGACGCACGAATCAGCGGCTCCGAGGCCCCGGCCCGGCAGTCCACCATCCTTCGCCGCAAATTTACTTACATACCCGCCCGGACTTGGCAACAGGCACTGCCATACGGGCAAACACCCTTAAAGGAGGCGTTGTAAGCTTCTTGGCGCATCGTATCTGGCGCCTTCCGCAGTCTTGCCAAGCGCACCGTTGTAACACTCCCGCAGATTGTACCGGCATCACCACCATGCAGCGCCAAGTCACGGCGTCATTCTGGTCTTTTTGTGTCTCTTCACCTTCTCGAAAAGATAGATTATGTACCATTTGATAGATGGCGTCAAGAGATTACGTTTGTGCGAGATATCGACCGTTGTCGAATCGTCTATCTAGCTCCCGCAAACGTCCCCAGATCAGCAAGCTCTTTACTGTATCTGTTGATGGATCGTTTAATTCCGCACCAATCGCTTTCTAAATGATTCTACCTTGATGGCCCAAGTGTTTGTCGCCGGCTCTTTCCGAATTCAAGCGCAGTGGCAGCTGCCCACGTGCAGTCAGTGCATGTAATAACCTGGCTATGTACGGATACATCTCAACTTTCAATACTCAATTCGGAAACGTGAAGGAGCCTCGGTTATCATCATTTGCCCCTATGGGGAGTTTCGACCAATATTCTATCTGACATGAACTCATATCATTACCTCACTGGTAATTTTGCTCATCAGAACATGTCTTCACTTGAAAATTTCTAACTTGCGCTGAACATCTGTGAAAGGAATCAGATGGCTTCCAAATGGCTAGAAGTCTTTCATTCATCGGGGATTGAGTATTAGAATTGCAATCATTAGATTTCTTAGGCCGACTCCTTTTCTTTCCTATTCGAGCACTTGGTAATACGATCTGAGTCTTTACTCTCATAGCAACTCACTTGGCTTAGGTATTATACCATCGGCCCAAGGATTAGCCCCACTTCAGTAAAGTCCCCGCTAGATAAGGTGCAGCCATCCGGAGCTTATAGGGATGATCGAGTTCCAAAACAGAAAACTTGCTCAACTTTAAGACGACTTCAAATTGAATTTGCAACGACACATAGAAGCCAGGTCTTTATCGATTTCTGGGAGAGGAATGTTTTTTTTTTTTTTTCATGAAAGTCGATGCTTGTTCGCATTGAAAGCAAGTGTTCCCAGGGCTCTCCCTCTTCAGAAGTCAGAACATGAAGCTGCATCAGCGTTTGGGAAAGTTTACATTGCCTCATCAACTCAACTATGTCTACAACAGATAACAAGACTTGTATTTTTGATCGGAAAGTTTCATCAAGCTTGGATTTCTGGCGTTTGTTGCAGTGTCATGGACTCAGGAATAGTATTTTTTTTTGCCGCGTCGCAAACATAGAGTAGTCGGTCGAGACCGTCCCTCACGAGCTTCATCTGAATGTCCCTGCATATTTTTCTCTCGACTCGTTGCTTGTCTGCATCATGTGTGTAGTAATTATTCTCTCTTCAGTATTCATCGTGTGAAATGGCCACTGCCTCTAGGCTTTATACACTCTATTCATTACACAACCGCCCTCCGGAGTCCGAATTTCGTTACACACCTGTGGCTTTCCTATGCACCTCATCAAGTCGACAATGATGCGCTATGTCCTTCCTTGTTAAGGATGGGTATCTTTCGCAGTAATCCATGGAATCCCTTCTGCGCGTCTACTTTGTTAGGTGCTCCCAGTCTGGTGGTGGATGTTTTGCTAGCTGCAATCGGGGAGGACCGTCATCTTCAGGTATCGAGGATAGCCCCTCCGGAGGTATGGCCTTTTCCCACACAGCCTCCCAAGACTTTCTGGCCTCCATATCGTGATTTTTCCAGTTGGGTACCCTGTCCCCTGAACACCCTGGTGCTGAGCTCTCGCCACCCTGCGCCAGCCATCCTTCTCTCCTTCCGTCCATTGAATTTGCTCTTGGGTTGTAGGTCCAGTCTTCGGCAGTCTGCTCCGACTTCCTGGCTGTCTCTTCCGTCAATGGCCTCATTCCCATCGGCTGACCAGTGAGGACCGCGAGTTCGGTATCGAAGTTGGCGGGGCCCGTTTGACTTATTGCAGTACGTTCTCCTACGGTAACGGCTGTGCGCGTAGTCCTCAGTTGCTTATTCGGCAATATACTGCGCCAGTAAGATGAGCTTGAACTGCTCCCTTTCTTGAGATCACCCACAGTCCGTGGCAGGTGACCCATCGGCTTTCCTTCTCCCTTTCGTACCCGTTCGTAGAGGAGGTTGGTGGAGGGTAAACAAGCACAAACGACGCCGATGACAAGTTCCAGTGCCCTGGTACACACTGTTGAGCTCTCAAGCGGGTAACGGGGAAAAGGGATATATCTTACGTGATAAGGTCCAAAACAACAAAGTCCTCAGTGACATCTGTTGAAGTGAGGAATTGAACGACGAGATACATGCGATAGACAGTCACAGCTGTCGCAATACCTCCAGCTCCAAGTAGCGCGGCAACTTTCAGCTTCTTCCGCAAAGGCATGCGCAACCCCCATAACAACGGTACCGGGAGCACGAGGATGAAGAAGTCTGTGATGATCGCCAGGCTCAGATCCGCAATGAAAATTTTGCGTTGATTCAAGCATCTCGGATTTGGTGTCTTGGGGTTCCAGAAGGCTGACACCGGCAAGCAGATGACAGTCTTGAGTATCTGAATTGGGATATAGCAGATAAGTAGGGTGACGATGAAGACCTTGATCCCGCGTGAAACTCGCTCGTGCACGGCAAAGACTCGTGCTTCGAGTAAGAGTAAAGTAACCTTCGTAAAGTATGCTGCCGGGCAGTAGACAATGGAGCTGGCGTACAGCCACTGAAGATCCTTGCATTAGTTTATGTCCATGTCGCTTGAAGATGTAATAGGCTTATCAAACTTACTCTCATCACTTCTTGATACGATTCTTTCGTGAGCTCCCATGCATGATAGCCCTCACCATAGTGCGCCATCACGAACACGGTGGAGACGTATATCATTATCAAAGCCTGAGGGTGTTAGTATAGCCAATTCGCAGTCCTGTACCATTGAGTCTCACATATGATATAGCGCAAGTCCCTGGGTTGGCAGTCAGTTAAGCGTTTATTTTCCCACCTCGTCCGAGCAAGATTGAAGTACAACATACAATCATCTGGGAGAAACGGTCTCGCCATGGTGAAGTTCAGATATGTCCTAATTCCAAAGAACACCGTCGCAATCGCTGCCAGGACACTCATTCCCACGACATTCCACATCCATCCGGCGTCCCTTGGGTTCTCGAAATTCGGTGTGACGCCAGGCGGGGGCGGAAACGCCCCTGTCAGAACCGTTGCGTTACTCATCGTATCTTCAATTGCTCGACGTGAGCTGTGAACCACATGGCGAGGCTCATCGCTTCACGAATGTAAACGCAAGCTTTCCGTGGCCGATCGTATGTTCGCAGCTGCAGAAATCTTTCCTCTTTGCCGCCCGCTTGAAGGTGAAAGGGCTCTAAGCTGCTGATAAACGACATCAACGACAATTGGTGACCTGCGACAAGGGGCGTCCCGCACCGGCCCTGACTCGCCCGGCCGCTCTAGTTCCGTTTAGAGTTCGTTGAGTGGTCGGACGTTGCCAGGGTCGGGGCGCAACACCATTGTTAGCGCCATGGAGTGATCAACAGAAGGCGAAACTTTAACAAACATCATGCTGCACGGTGTCCCCTGTGGCCGGTTATGAGACGTCGAAAGGGACCAGATTTAAGGGACCTGTGGAGGACGTTCGCTACCTCGCTCTCCCCGGAAAACGAGAAAGGATCATTTAGTTCCATGTTTTGGGAGCTATGGGCACAGCGCGATATGAAGAGGGTCTGCTGCCTTTTCCCGAATCCGAACGGAGTCTCTCATGTCTGAGCGCTCTACATCGTCCAAGGTTTGCTGCTAAATCGCGACGAACCTCTTCTAAAACCTGAATTCAGGGAACAGACGGGCTCGGGTGTGCAAATCAAAATCTGGCCTTTGTTATGTACAGGCCAAGCTTATTAGACACCGCCACGACGCAAGAGGCTGCGATGAGAGCGCCCGTTAATCGCACAAAGCTTTCTTAGGTCAGATCCGAAAGCGTTCTAGAAGGCTTTCGGATCGTCTGCTCCGGCGCTTCTCGGAAACGACTCCGCGGGTTCTAAACAATGCAAATATGAGGGGTCATTCCAGAAAATAGATAGATTCTTCGGATACTGAGTGTCGATGATGTAGGTCTTTTGAGACACTCCACTCCTTCAACCCCGCGTACTTCGAATCTCTAACGCCGAGCGATGCTGGAGCTGTTTCTGACTTATCACTGACTTGGTACTCTGAAAATCAGGAAAAATATCTTTCCATGGCAGCTTTTTCTCTGCATCAAGATGGCGAACCATTTCAGAATTCCCCGGCATAATACCGAAGCAGCCCATAATATCTCGCCCCACTACGTAACGATCACAAAAGCGAAGCGACAACATGACTTTGTCATTACATGTGCGACGAATTCAGGGTTCGACTTCTTCAGAGAAGGAGAGATTGTCTCCGGATGAATGGAATGGTACTCTCTCGGTTTAAGGTAATCTTGTCAGTTCTAAGTAGGGCTTTCCGGAGCAACCGAATCATACGCTGGCGTTGCGATTCAGTCCATCAAATACCTAGAAGCGATGGCCCGTCACAATTAGCTAAACCTGAGCCTGGATGGCGAGCAGCTTTCCTACCTGATTTCTATAGTCATATCATGAGGTTGGCGTGGTAGCAGAGTAGTCATCGCATAATTTTGACAGGGTCGATTGGGCCAAGCCGAGTTGCTTAATTGTCAGCATTCCACCACAAGTTTGTTGCTGGGGAACTGCCTTCAAGATCGATTAATAATAGCATATGCCACTGCAGTCGCCTGCCACTTCTAAGTCTCTTTCTAATCGACCGAAACTTTGGTTGGCAAACTATCGTGGCCATGAACTGAAAGCGATGTAACTTCTGTAAACGATATCACTAGTCATTATTGTGGCCGAAGCACCCTATCGAGGGTCTTGGCGGTCGTGGCCAAACTTGAAGCCATGGCCATCCCGGCAGCTACCGGACGTTTCGACCGGCTCAACCCCGCGTGGTGCTTCCGGTCTAGGGTCATCCCACGCTTCACATGCAAGTCATGAGTATCGCAATGGCCAATCTCGCTTTCGAAAAGCTCACACGTGAGGGATGAACGGTATACGGATGCCCGCGGGCTTCCGGTAGTTATTTCCTCTTATAATGAGTGAACAATTGATTTCCAGCGATACTTGAGACAACGATTAAGGTCCAGGTATGAGTTAGTAACCCACGTCGGAAAAAGTGACGTGAAAAGGGTAGCTTGTATCATCGAGCTAAGACAGAAAATCGATATCTTCTAATTATTTTGGTCCACAGGAGTCCTTGCAGGTGGAGAGAAAACATTTAGATGAACGAAGCCTGCTAAACAACCGGTGTATCACTGATCGACATTGTTGCTAAAGAAATGGGACTCATCGTAAGACGCGTATTTCTGGTGCACTGACACTGACCGCTGCATGTGATTCTCAAAGCAGAGTCGTCGTAAAATCTCGGTTTCAGCTGTCAACTATGCTCAGCAACCATTCGGCTCAATGGTGAAAAACATGGTTATGTAGGAAAAGGTATAACCCTGTTTGCAGATCCAGCCACGCTGAAGTACTCCCAGTCATCACCGCCTCTTTGGACAATTCAAGGTAATTTACAATTAGTTGAACTTGCTGAAGAACGTTTCAACGTAATCTTACCAATCTGGGCTTGAGCCTGGTGGTCAAGGTGATCATTACCAAGAAGATGCAAGTTTAGAATAGCCGGTGTATCCGGTGAGATCGACTCCGGCACCTAAGCCTATTCCATGAAGTACTGACCATGGAATTGGCAATCACGTAGCAACTAAATAGATCGATGGTCAGGAGTGTGGAGTTTGCAAAAGACAGCATAATATAAAATGCTATGACGCTAGTATTCCCATTATCTCAGCTTTCATTGTATCTCGATTCGTTCAAGACGTGGCTTCTATCTGGGTTGCAAGGCGGCTGGGAGAAGCCGGAAGCGAAAATGGGTCTGATCATGGCTGTTGCCTCTCCTTAGTATGTCTAGCTTCCAACTTGCAGTGTGTTGAACAGTTCCCCCTCAGCTCGCGGTTTTCGTGGTCTTGGTCCGCAATTTCATCATCAGAAAGACGAGGGCGTACGACGAAACGCAAAAGAGCGCTGTGATACCGACCTATAGCAATCAACAGTCAGAATTCGGGAGTCCCTTGGTATGTCTAGATGCAATAGTTTACTTACTCCTCTCCACCCGTAGCTGGAATCATTGATGTTCATGGTTCTCATGTAGTCCGCTCCAGTGCTGTAGGGACAGTACGCACACATGGTGCTATTTCCCGGATCGGCAACGTAGCCCGGCTCAGAAGAGAGAAAATCGGCGAGGTACTCCCCACAGGTGCTATTACCTGGAAGTGGAATATGCGTCAACTCGTTTGGCTTGCAGTGAACCTTGACATCCCAGACCACAGGCTCCAGCATTCCTTGGATGAGGTAGGTGAATGGATCGAGCCAGTAGAGCCAGTATCTCCAAAAAGCCGTGATCTGCGAGTACGGAACAACCACACCACAGAAGTTGATGAGACCCGCGCCGATGATGATGGGGTTGGCCAGCGCGGCGAAGTAGGCGTTGGGGCTGTAAGCGGCAATGGCTTGTCCCAGTGAAGTGTACAAGAACTCATAGACTGGATGAGCACAGGTTAGCACGATATTTTCGCACACGATTGAGATTTAGTAAGACTTACGGATCATTTGGAGGTAGACCTGTCCGGAAATCCTTGCTTCTGTGGGGAAGCCAACCGTGAAATACCAGGTGACAAACGCCAGTGTTCCGCAAACAATCAGCACAGGTGTCTCTGACAGCAATTGAGCCGCCACAAAGGCAAACCAATGGTAAGTCTTAGACTTTTTCTCGCGAGTCTCGAAGACGTCGCGGTTCCGAATGAAGAGCGGCTGCAGCTGGTTGATGCATCCAGGGGCAACAAATACGAAGTTGAAGACAGCCATGAGCCTAAGTTGAAGGTCAAAGGTACCGTCACCCAGCATCCAATAAGTGAAACCTCCGAAGAGTCCGTTGGTGATGTGCAGTCCAATCTTGTTCCAGACGTAATCAGGGTTGCGCCACAGCGCGACCAGTTGTCGGCTTGTGACGAGATAGACCTGGTACGCGACTGGGGTAGCGAATCCAGCAAGCTGATCCTCATCGACGGCCTCGGCCGTTGTTGATGGCTCAGGGTCCTTCTTCTCCTCAACATTGAAGTTGAGAGCATCAAGTTCCGTGATAGCCGCTTGTCTCTCTGGAGAATCAAGCCATGTCTGCGGCCAATCGATCTCAGTACCAAAACGGCCTTGCACCACATCGACTATGTGCTCAGCGGGATTCGCATGCGGTGGGCAAGCGGCACCATTGCGTGCGAAGTAATCGATCACTGTAGCTGACTTTCTGCCGGTGGGTCCGAAGTAAGTCGTACGTCCTCCGCGGGCCAAGAGGAGAAGCACATCAAATGCATCGAAGAGAGTTGCAGATGGCTGGTGAATGGTGCAAATAATGGTCTGTCCAGATGCTGCGAGCCTGCGCATGAAGCGACAGATCTCGTAAGCAGACTGGCCATCCAAGCCGGAAGTCGGTTCGTCGAGGAAAAGGAGAGAAGGCTTGGCCACGAGTTCCGTTGCGAGTGTGAGACGCTTCCGCTGCTCGATAGAGAGGCCCCCGCCAGGCGCTGTGCAAAAAATGATTGATTAGCGCGTGGTTTCAAAAGAGGTGCCAGGGACTCAAGTTCAATGGTGTAAAACTCACTTCCAACAATGGCGTGCTGAAGAGGTGTCAGCTCGAGTAACTCCATGATGCCTCGAACATAGTCCTGTTTCTCTTCATCTGGAATCTTGTGGCTCTGTCGCAGCCGTGCCGAGAACAAAAGACTCTCCCAGACTGTAGCAGTGGGCTCGTGAACGTCATTCTGCTCGCAGTAGCCCGTTGTCCGCTGGAAGCTGATACCTTGCGGCTTGCCATTGACCATGATGCTGCCTTCGATCGTGCCGCTGTCTTTCCTCTGTGCCAAAACGTCCATCAAAGTCGTCTTGCCAGCACCGGAGCTACCCATTAGCGCGACCAGCTGACCGGGCTTGACGTAGCCCGAGACTCCGCGAAGGAGCTGAAGGTCTTTCCCTTCGTGTCGAACAAAGTAGCTGATGTCCTTGAAAGTGAATACCGTCTTGCTAAGAGACATGTAAGACACATCATGGGAAGTAGCCGATCCATCTGCTTTTTCT